GAAATCGAATATTTGGGTGTGATTATTGGACACAATTCGATGCGGATGGACCCAGTCAAGATCAAGGGCGTGATGGAATGGCCAGAACCAAAGAGCGTCAAACAAGTACAAGCCTTCCTAGGGTTCACCAACTTCTATCGACGCTTTGTTCGGGGATATGCGGAGATTGCCAAACCATTGACACGGTTGACAGGGAAGGCAGGATGGGCATGGGGTGCAGATGAGCGTGCAGCATTTGATGGGTTGAAGAAGAGAATCGCAGAGGATGCGGTCCTAGCACTGCCAAATGACACTGGCCAATATCGTCTGGAAGCCGATGCTTCGGAAGGGGCAACAGGAGCAGTTTTGAGCCAAAACCAAGACGGCATTTGGCGCCCAATTGCATTTATTTCACATGCATTGACCGAAACCGAGCGAAATTACGAGATCTACGACAAGGAAATGCTCGCGATCATGTTATCACTCGACGAATGGAGGCAGCTGCTCCTGGGAGCCACGGAAACATTCGAGATCTTCACTGATCATCAGAATCTTGAGTACTTCCGAAAGCCGCAGAAGCTCAATCGACGACAAGCACGATGGATCACGGAGCTGGCGGAGTTTGATTTCACCTTACGACACCGACCCGGCGCACTCAACCGCAAGGCAGATCTCCTGTCTCGACGAGCAGATCACGATCAGGGCAAGAACGACAACAAGGACGTCACGCTACTGAAGCCCGAGTTCTTCCGATCACAAGAAGTCACATTCGAGGGACAGGATCAGCAGCTAATCGATGAAATCAAGGCCACTCGATCAATTGATGGAAGCGTCAAGGCGGCCTTGGAGAAGTCACTCGTTGGATGGAAAAAGGAAGACGGGCTCATCACGTACCATGGGAAGCTCTACGTACCAAGGGACGAGGAACTGCGAGACAAGATCATCGGGCTACACCATGACACCCCGTTGGTCGGACACGCTGGGATCAACCGAACGCAGGAGATGGTGGAAAGAAACTACTGGTGGCCCAGGATGGGAAACCAAATTCGGAAATACATCCAGACGTGCGAGGCGTGCCAACGGACCAAGACCAGGAGAGCAAGGACAGGGACTTTACACCCGCATGCAGTTCCAAATGCGCCGTGGGAAATCATCTCGATGGATCAAATCGGACCCCTGCCGGTTAGTAATGGGTATGACGCAATCCATGTGTGGTGTGACACCTTCACCAAAATGATCCATGTCGAACCCATTAGTACTGACATCAGCAGCGAAGGAGTAGCACGGTTGACAAGGGACCGGGTTTTCCGTTATCACGGGATCCCTCGCAAAATCATCACCGATAGGGACTCACAATACATCAAGGGCTTCATGAAGGAGACGAACCGGATGTTGGGCGTGGAGATGAACCCGGGGACAGCATATCAACCGATCACGGATGGGCAAACCGAGCGCATGAATCAGGAGATCGAGCACTATCTCCGCATATACGTCAACTACCATCAGACGGACTGGTCGGAGTGGCTGGGAATGGCGGAATTCGCATATAATGACAAAATGAACATGTCTACCAAAATATCACCATTCTACGCCAATCACGGATATCACCCATGGAAGGGAGTAGAGCAGCGGATGGAATCGAGAAACGAGTCGGCGGAGGAATTTGTAAAAAGAATCAAAGAAATACAAGACGAAGCAAAAGCAGCATTGGAAAAAGCAAAAGAAAAAATGAAAAAATACTACGATAAACAAAGAAAAGAAGTTCCGGAGTTGAAGGTTGGGATGAAGGTGTACATAGAAGGGGAAAATATCGAGACGGACAGACCATCGAAGAAGATGAGCGACAAAAGATTGGGACCATACGAGATACTGGAGAAGGTTGGAGCGGCCGCATGGAAGCTGAATCTGCCGGATACGGACCGAAGACACCCCGTGTTCAACGAATCACTGTTGACACCCTATCACGAACCACCCCCCCATCGCCGAGAGAAGAGACCCGTAGCCAAGATGATCGGAGGAGCAGAGGAGTGGGAAGTCGAAGAAATCGTTAAAGAGCGAAAGGTCGGCCGAGGAAAACAGTACTTGGTCAAATGGAAGGGATGGCCGCACAGCGAGAACACCTGGGAACCATCACGCCACCTTACCCACGCGAAGGACGTCCTGAGAGACTGGCAGAGGAAACAATCCAACCCAGACACACGCATTCGCCTCCTACCAACTCTCGAAGCTGGACACTGGGACTATCTTATTCATCGCTATAAACCCAGGGATGAGCGCCTCCCCTATCCCCAACGACAACTCTTTGACCCTTACGAGAACGTCTTCACGCCCATTGGCCTAGTCGATGAGGACATCGACCCTAGAGAGGGGGTAATGTCATAGTTCGGCCACTTTTTCATCTTATCTTCGACGATCTTATCTTATCTCGGCACGGCTTATCTTATCACGGATCACGGCATCAAGACGGCCCGGGCTAGGGGTTCGAGGGATTATCCTTATCGACTCAAGGCTGCGCAACATATGCTCCGGAAGGTTCTATTACAACCCATGACCAGTGTTCCATGCGGTACATAGCCTTATGACTCATTAGTTGTAGATATGACTCAGACTGGACTTGGGTATAAATACTGTAGCTACCTGGTTGTATTCTCCAGTCTTCGAATTCACTTCTCTTTTCGACTCCATTTTTGGGTTGATTGTCACACATGGTGGGGAGATACTCGATAACGTCGGCGGTTTGGTAATGAAGAGAGGGGAATTCGATATAGGGAGGATCACCGAATAGGGAACGAAGTTCAGGAGTCCAATCGTCCTGATGGTGAAATAGATCTTCGTTGTCGTGTTCACCAAGTTCGTATAGGTCTTCCCAATCGGTGTCTTGAAGGGTAGTGTAAGAAGGTCCCTGAGCCCAACGGACAACAGGAAATAGGATAACCCCAACGGGAGGGTCGTTTGTTGATGACAGGGTGATAGAGACTAGAGCGACACAGTCAGCCCTAAGTTCTCTGCAGACCAAGAAACAAAATCCCAAGTGCCAAATCTCTGAAACGAGAACGAACAAGCGTCCCCATCCCATCCATGATGCCCATATACGCGCGGGGAATGATAACGAAATAAAGCGGTATAGTAAGTGCCCATATTTGTATCAAAGTAATGTAACTATATACGTCAGCGGCGGCAGTACCCGACGGTGATTACTGCCCTTGCAGTCCGTCACTGGCCAAGGGTCACGTGCCCAAGGCCGTCCCAAGCACCGGGTTTGGCCGCCCATCTTCTCCCTTTTAAAGACATGCATACACGCAGAGCGTCATTGCATGAATCCTCGTAGTGTCACCAGCCCGCAGGGTCCCTTGTGAGGAATGCGAGTCAACCCCAAAGGATTGTTTTGCCTGGCGGAGGGATTGACCTCCAGCAGCTGTTGAGAGCTACCACACCACCTAGGCGCTTCGCGCAAGGTTCAGGAGTGGGATTGACCAAAGGACCAGTGCCTGGTGGGTATGTCCGCTGTACAATAAAAAGATGTAACGTAAAACGCGCGCGAGCAATCATGGACGGAATAGCTAACGGCGCGTCTGCCAACTGAATGACTCCCTGATGCCGCTTGCGTAACCCCTTGAGGGTGAGAGCACAAATGCGAGGACCGACATCCAGCAAGTGGGACGAGCGCACAAAGACGGCGCTCTAGAAGGGCTGAACGAGTGAAAGATACTCGCCTTAGTAAAGGGAGTAGTTCGATGTTTCTTGATTTGCCGCTAGTGGTTCAGGCGGGGCCCATAACCTGTCGCAGACAATACCGCGCAGTGGAGATACGACCAGTAGCGATCACCTATAAGACAGAGTCTCAGCGAGTGTAGAGACACAGGAGCTATATCATTAGCTGTACCTATAAGACAGAGTCTATGGTACAAGTCATAAGTAAGGTCATTAGATCGTAAGGGAGAATGCATACCTCAGCGAGTGTAGAGACACAGGAGCTGAGGATATGGAGCGTATAGTACTAGGTTTATATACCAGTCTGGAGCAGATATCATGATGTCATAGTGGAGTAATGATATCATAGATGAGTAATGGATGACGCAATAATGAGGTCAGGTATGAGGTCATTGTGGAGCGAGCCAAAGTAATCTAAGAATACTACTTATGATGTCATGTCTACATACTGTGATAGTCGCTAATACAAACAAGCTTCAACACTCTGTCCATTTTTTTTTGTGCACTTCATGTTCGCATCTTCAATATAAACATTTTAAACAGTTATAACCATCTTTATTTCCTTTTTGTTTAGGGCATGGTCTATACAATAAACAAAAATTTAGTAAATGTTTAAATGGTTTCTTCTTGGGGAAACTGATTCTGTATCTTAACTTCCCTGCATGCTTGTCCCTAGTCTCTTTCATTAACTTCCAACTCATTCCTCGTTCCGGAACTTGTTGCACACCACTGCCACAATTTAATTTAATTTACTGCTGACTTGTTCCTGCTTACTGCTCATTTAATTGACCCTCCAACTCCGCCCTCAGGCTGCCCCAACGACGCCTGCACCCACTCCGGCCCGACCCGCTGCCAACGAACCGGTTATTGCTCCAGTCTTTGAAAATTTTAGTTCCCTCTGTTGTATTTGTTCATTTCATCTTAATCCTCGTTTAATACACCGCTAATTTCGTATTTTCCTTTTGCCTCAAATAATTAATCGTTTAAGAGGTTTTAAACAGTTTTTTAAACGTTTGAAACCATTTTCATTTATTGTAGGGCCAGTGCTACGCAAAAATGAAAAGGTTGGAGTCCTATGTGGTAATGTATAGTTACTTATCATTGGCATGTAGTGTCATTGTATGTTACTCAAGCAAGGCATTCAGTCGCCAAGGGCGACACTTTCTAGTATGTGAAGTCTGGTGGATCATGATGGCAGGCTTGCAATCAGACAATTCGCATCTGGCGACTGCACAGCCCAATCAAAATCGATCACGTGTCTTCTCGCGACCGCGCTCTGGTCCACGCTTACTTCCGTCTTGGTCGTGACCATGAACACTCGGGAGCTCAGAAAACGGATAAGCGCTCTGGATCGGTCTATATCCATCCTTCAAGACCAGCTGCACTTGCTTGAAGCAGAGAAAGCGGACCTCGCGACCCAGCTCTGTCGATCGACGTACCCCGTCGAATCCCTGCCTCCCGAGATCATAGTCCACATCTTCGTGGACTACATCGCTGCGCTGGACAAACCCACCCTGTTCCCCGCCTTCCTCGGGGTGTGTCGCACATGGCGGCAGATCGCGTTGGGCACTGCGGGGCTGTGGAACGACATCGTCATACCCTGGCAACACCCGCAGCCGGACGTGCTGCTGCAGCGCTGGGTGGAGCGCGCGGGACCCCGCATCCCCCTCGACATTTATATGGGGCTAGAGACGACAGAGCCCGTGCTAGCGGTGCTGGGCGCGCACGCGTCGCGCTGGCGGCGCTTAGTGCTGAGGATGAGCATGCGGTCGACGCTCGCCGTGGCCCCAGGCGATGGATCCGGATCGTGGGAGTGCCTTGAGGAGCTGGATGTGCTTGCGGACCTGCAGCACGCGGCGGTACTGAGCCCTGTGACGGGGCTGTTCAGCGCGCCGCGGCTGCGCCGGGTGTGCGTCCATTCGTTCCCCGCGACGCAGTTCGTGCTGCCGTGGACACAGATAACGTCCCTGGCGCTTCTAAACCAGTCGCTCGCGCAGTGCCTCATGATCATCTCGCAGACGCGCCAGCTGGAGGCGCTGCACGTGTCACTGACAAACCGGAACACCAGCCACCACCCGATTTCACTGGTGCTGCCTGCGCTGCGGCGGTTCAAGATCGAGCGTGATGCGGTGCCGCCGATCCTCGGGTACATGACCCTGCCGCTGCTCACGGACCTTGATGTTAGCGGACATGTCGACGGGGTGATCTCGCTTGTGATGCGTTCAGGGTGTACGATCACCCACCTCCGCCTGTCTCATATGTTAATGGACGAAGACCCCGTCTACGCGTGCCTCAGAGCTTTGCCGGGGGTCACGCACCTCGTGGTGGCGTCACCGCGCACGGAAGACTTGGCGGACTTCCTGTGGACCCTCGCTGACGCTTCCTACCACACGCAAGACCCTCCCGTGATACTGCTCCCCATGCTGCAGTCTTTTGTCCTGAAAAATTGTCTTGATGTCCTAGAACTGGAGAGCGTCGTACGCCTACTCGAGACGCGCTGCAGACAGCGGGAGGGCTACGCGTTGCCCACGGCTTTGCTGCGAACCTTTCGTGCGACCTGGGGAGAAGACGTAGACGAGGACGAGGGGTTCAAGGACCCGATACCCGTCATCAAACAGCTGGTGCGCGAGGGGCTTTCGCTCCAACTCGATATGCCTCAGTACTGGCAATCTCAGGAGTTGAACTGGCATATGGTGAGTGTCGGCCTATCCTCGCTACGGGTCTCATGTCTGCAGATTCAGGAATTGAAACGGCTGGACTGATACAGTACTCGACACCCCCTATGGGTAATAGTAGCTTTTGTTTTGGGGTTCGGAAAAATGGCTTGAACAGATATGTCAACCATGCAACCCAAAACGAGAATCCCCTGATCGCTCACCTCTGCGATTCCGTTCCAGTCGCGCGATATTCCCCCGGTTGATTATACTGATATGGCGCCTGAAACGCTTTCGACGGGCTTGGGTCTCGAGCTCCGTATTGCAGCCCGCAGTCATAGCCATGTCCATCCCCATTCCCCTGCCCGTCGTAAGCCACCCGCCCGTTGCATCCATAATCCCACGGCGCCTCGTTCCATTGGGCTGTTTCCGGCCCCGCTGCGGGTATTGGATATGGCGCGTGCAGGTATATCTCGGACTCTGCGTCGGGTCGTCTGAGCGGTTTCCCGCCGCCCAATGTCGATCTCCTGTGCGGCGCCACCTGTTCAGCGGATTCTGATACGGGCACGAACTCGCAGTCCAGTTTCCGCTTCGTGCAGCGCTCGCAGGGCGCGCTTGGCTGTTTCGTGCTGGTCACACACTGAAAGAAAGTCAGTCTCCCCTCCGACTGCACAGTAAGGATGCGATGGGGGCATGGCGGCCGGCACCGTGTTCATTGGACTAGGACTCGCCTTGATTTTTCTCCTCCGGCAGTTCACGCAGGCCATGGGCATGCGGCGGATCGGCGCCCCTTCGAGGGGCCAGTAGTTTGCTGCGGCGGAGTCTGAGGTCATGGTCTGAGTGACGGGTTGGAGAAAACCCTGGGCGTTGTAATACCAGCGGCCTTATGTACGCGTCCGGGCTGCTATTATTGGGCCAGCCAAAGCACTGCCTCGGACTGTGCCGTGCCATGCCGCGCGACGACATCCTGCGAATGGCGTCTCGTGGGCCGGACCTGCAGCTGACTCACGCCGCTGTATCACTCACTCAACCAGCAGTGGGACAGCGCGCGGGTACCAATCACCGTAGTTCTCGGTGGGCAAGCTGCCTGATGATGCCTACACACCATCCGTGGGGCCTTTGCGTTTGAGCAGCGAGCCGTCGCCAGTGCGCTGGGGAGATCTGTTGCCACTGCTCGGAGCACCATCTGGGTGCGATTGGCTGTCGCTGCATTTACGATCGCTCGTTCGCGTCATTAGGGCTGCCACCTGGGTTTGATCGCTCTCTGACAAGGATCTGCAGTGTTTCAACGGGCAGATTTCGGTTGAAAGGCTCAGCGAGGGCTCCAAGTGTCGTAAACGGCGTTTGTAGCTCTTGTCAGAAGTGCACATCTACTGCGCATGATATGATCTGTACCGAGACTGCCCAGGTGGCAGATTCTTCTGACTCGAGGGACCGCCTTGTCTGATTATCATATCAGCCTTGGAATCTGAGAGTACGTCGCGGCCATTGCTGATTATAAATATGTGCCCACCCGTGTGAAACAGCAACCCCAGGTGTTCCTATCCCTGAGCCGTGATTTCCGTGTTGTTGAGATTGATTTAGTACAGCAATGATGTCATGGAAGCATTCAGAGTGGACGGATCCAGTGCCTGATATGTTCAAGTGATCTGTTTGGGCTCCATTTCATAATATCTAATCAGCTGAGTATCCAAGCGGAGCAGACCTCCCAAAGAAAAACTCAACCCTTGGCCCTGTACCTGACAGTCGGTGTCGAGAACACAGAAGATAAACGCTACATCCCCAGCATCTAACAAAGATTCGTAGCATTCAGAATTGGAGCCTTGGACACTGGATCGGACGCAGCAAATTGCCGATTCGTGAATGGGCAGCGGGCTGCCAGATATGCTGCGACGTGTCACGTGACACTACGGTCAGGCTCCCCGGGCCGAACACAAAGGGCTCAATCTATCTGAGAATGGAACGTTTTGATCCTTCCCCGAAATCAGGCAGACCGGCCAGGAACCATGCAACAGAATAATCCTGACGCCAGGAAGTGCCAGTTAAGACACGTTTTCCTCGGATCTGATGGCATCCCGTCTTTCTTGACAACGAGCTCTCAATGTGGATAGCGGATGGGCCCGGTAACGGTTGGTTTCCGTAATCTGCTGGTACGTTTGATCGGTGGGAAGAGGACTCTCGGGAATTACCCTCTGGCTATTGCATGCACAGCATCAGCGTGTCGTGTGCTGCCTAGCGACGGGATGCAAGTGAACCTTGGTCCATGCATGCTGTGTTTGTCGAGGGGGGTTGTCTGCGGGATTATTTAGGTCCACGGAGATAAATTCCATACAATCCTATATGGAATATATGCCCTGTAAGAGTGCAATTCACTCCGGATCATGGCAAAAACCGTGGCACCGAATGGCCAGTTTTCAGCGCCCCCTGCTCGAGGATTCGATCGAAGCCGTAATTGGCACGCAGTTCATGCAGCGCTGGGTGCATTGTAAGCAGGACCTCCGCGCTTGGTCCGGGCTTGTGCGTGGGGGAAATCGGCACTGTGGAAAGAAAGAAGGCCCTCTTATGAGCCGATGTCCACGGACAGCAGGAATTGAGTACGACAGAAACATGCCTTGAGGTTGTCCCTGCGGCAGTTCATGCACACGGACGGATAGATGAAGGTAATTGGGGTCTCTCCTTGCGATGAGGGAGCTGGATCGTCCAATGGCCCAGAGTTCTCGGTGACAGAGCTTGAAGCGGACATACGAGTTCTTCGATGGGGGGTGCTATGACGGTGTCAGAATACAGACCACAGTCTTATATGGCAGACTTTCCGCGAGCCTATTTTGGGGCTCGGGAGTCAGTCAATGATTCCACTGGAACAGACTTGTTACAGTTTACCTAGCCAAGAACATTGTGGCGCATGGCTCGCCGGAAGTCGCTGTAAGCGCGGCACAGAGCAAGGTTCCTGGATCTGCCGGTCCGTTTGATAGACGTAGAGGATCCTGAAGGCGACAAAGCTGGGCAGGTAAGGATGGAAATTCGACGAGTGGATGGATTCAGTTCCATCATGATCCTAGGTACTCGACGACCTGGTCGTGTCGGCCGCCGCCTGATCACGCTCGAGTTGAACCTGAATCATGCCGCAGTGAGATGAAAAGCCCTGCTCTCGATGCCATACCACTAATTAAATCCATGTCGCAAGCGAGAATTTGAACGCTGCGGGGGTGTCATCGAAAGGCGAGGTGATCGCCGTGCTACTTCTCCTGGAGTATGGGCACGTGACCCCATCACCGTAGAGATACACTATTGCACATCAGCAGACCTGGACGATAACATCCACTCGGGCCGCTCCACTCCTTCTATGAGAATGTTCGATTTCGTCTGTATCGGTGTTGAAAAGCCTGAAAATAGAACTTGTATATCAGGAAAATGACTTTCCATTACATTGCGTGCGGAACCGCGCTGGCCATATGGCGAGTGACATACGGGTGCGCGCCAGACCAGATGGTCAGAGGGTGTCCAAGCGCTTGTGGACGATTTCGGGAGGGATCCCGAGGGTCGATGGCTGTGGCCCCCGGAACAATGAGTGAGAAGATGATATGATGGTTCCATGACGTGATCCGTCAGTAGATCGCAACAGTGCCGTTGCTGCTGCTGCAGCGTTTTGAATTGAAATCAGACCTTCGATCCCAATGCTCTCTGAATTCGATCTGTCGACCCCTTCGGAAAGCGCAGAGACCATATAGAGACGAACAGAAGGGCGGCACTCACTCTCCGGGTCAGACGAGCCAACGAAGTGTTCGGAAGAATGAACTTCAGACTGGTCTCAGTCCGCGATGTGCGTGGAATTGACCTCTAACAAATCGATGTACTGTACCCTACTTATACTCGAGGGAGAATATAGGTAGTCCGTCGGTCCCAAAACCAACACACTGCATGTCCGCACCTCCTCAGTATTCCCAGGGCGGGATGAGCCTACAAATCTGGGACCTGGAAGGCGTAACTCCTTCGAAAAGAATGTGGATGGCTTGCATTCACTGCCGGAAGCACAAAGTCAAGGTTCGTTTCTTTGGACCCTCCATCGATGTTTAACCCTGAAAATCCTTGCCAGTGCGTGACGACAAGCAACCTCCCGACAAGGACTTGCGAGCGGTGCAAGAAGCATTTGCTTGTGTGTCAATTTCAGAGCAGAGCAGACCAGGATCGAGAACGGCAGTCCTTCTCGGATAGGCCTGGTACCAGCGCCTCGTACAGTAGTTCCGCGGGTGTGTCTGAAGGAGCGTATACGCACAATGGACCATTCGGAGTCGGTACCCAGAGTCAAACAATGGACGCATATGACCCCATCGCCTCGACGGCCACGGGCTACTATGACCAACAGCATGATCCTGCTGGACCCCATCCAACCGGAATGTCATATCCGGGCCCACACAACCAAATGGATCCTCACGAGAACGGGCGAAGGTATCTGGCTTCGTAGACTCGGAAGAGAAGCCGAGGATACTGACGAGCTTCGGTTTCCTAGAGACTTGGAAGAGTATATTAGGTACTTATCTGGACCCGGACCCACTAGACTGGAAGGATTTGGGTCTCATGCCGGTTTCTTTTGAGGATTTGGTGACAAGCGTTGATGCACCTGGCCCTGAAATCAACCAATCACGTGCACCCGAAAATCTTGTGGAATTTGTCTCCTTTGTGCTCACCAGGACTGTGGCATTGCTCCCTTATCTCCTTCAATCCAGCGCTATTTGGCATGGACTACTTACAGTATTGATTAGGACCCGATGGACACCATATGGACAGAACTTTTGGATTTTCCATTTCATTTGATTTTACCACACTTACTATAAAAGCTTGTGGTACAGTACAAAGAACAAGAAATTAGTCTTCACCCACTCTCTAGAGTCAAAGGCAACTTTCCAGCACTTTATTTCTCGACTCCTTGACACTCACTCTCCTTTTGTTTCCCCAACATTCTCCCAACCTGTACATTTTCTGTTACAGTCCTATTCATCATCCCCCTTGTTGAACTATTGACCTATTGTCCACTGTCATCCTTGTCCCTGTTGTCCTTTACCTATCCTCTGTTTTCCTTTTGCTCCCTCACAGCCCACGGCCCACCATGGTTGACCTGCCACACATTTGAGCCTGACCTGGTTTGGATCAAAATCCCACACACTATTCTACGTGAGCTCAAGCTGCAGCAGCTCTCTCCCTCGACCCTTGGAATTGTCCCCTTACACCCTTTGTACAGCTGCACACTCATACCTCCTGTAGGTGTGTCATTGGGTGCTGTACCATTACAACCGTAGGTTTGCTGGCAATGACCAATACTATCATAATTCAAACTTTGATTGTTCGAAGGGTCCGGTGACCACCGACACCCGTGATTTGGTCTCTAAGTTCGACTAATTTTGGTGCTTTTTAGCCATATCTGAGCTCAAATTGCCAGATTTACATTCAATCATGGTGAATTTGGCTCGAAACTGGCTTTATAAGGACCCCAAATTGACCAAGTCGAGCTTTCCAGAGATTTGTCTGAATTTGGACCTGTTCGGACCGAAGTTCGAGTCCTTCGTTGAACAGTGACAGGTGTAAAATTGGTTCAGTTTGAAAGGGCTAGTGACCGGTGACATGAACCTAAGACTGTAACGGCACAGTAGTGGTATTTGTACATATAGGGAGGGGAGGTGTAATGTGAAAGAGGAAACGAATTTCCAATTCTAATTACTCATTCCTTGCTTTCATGGTAGCAAGGGTCATTCTGATCATCACATAACAAAGAATGGGTTCATTTTGTGTGTTTCCTACTTCACTAAGGACCTGATGCCTGAGACCGCAATTCAACAAAGTCTGAACCAATGCACGTGATAACCAAGGTCCATCAGAGCCGACTCCCGACGACGACAGATCAACCAACCGATGTGAATTACACACGTCGTCACCGGTCACTGACATCCGATAAGCCATCTTTCTCCCCCATCATGTCTATTCAGGCTCAGGATTTCCAGGCGACCTCCCTCGCAGACTGGGCCCGCTCGGACCAGTACCACAACAGCTTCCTCCTCCCGGCCGACACCGTGCTCGACAACGCGCTCAAGAACAGCGCGGCGCATGGCTTGCCGGACATCGCTGTGAGCGCGGCACAGGGCAAGTTCCTGTCTCTGCTCGTCCGCTCGATCGGCGCGAAGAAGATCCTGGAGGTGGGAACGCTGGGCGGGTAAGGCGGGGGTTCACGATGGTGATTCGATGAGCTGATGTCGAGGTCCCATCATGATCCTAGGTATTCGACGATCTGGCTGTGTCGGGCGCTGCCCGATGACGGGAAGCTAGTTACACTCGAGCTGAGCCCGAAACATGCCGCAGTGAGAGCTCGGATGGCTCTAGCGAGCGTTATTTTTGAGGCCATATCACTGATTGTGTCCAGGTCGCAGTCGAGAATCTGACCGCCGCGGGACAATCATCCAAGGCCGAGGTCATCGTTGGGCCAGCCCTCCATTCCATGATCGCCATGAAACCTGCTCCCGGGGAACTGTTCGATTTCATCTTCATCGACGCCGACAAGCCTGGGAACAAAGCTTATTTCACGGAAGCCAAGCGCCTGGTCCGCAAGGGCGGTGTCATCGTGCGTGCAGCTTTATCCCATATCACATATCTCTCGAGCAGATATCAACTCTCGAACAGATCGTCGATAACGTGGTGAGGTACGGGCGCGTTGGGAACCCTGATTACACCGATCCGATGGTTGAAGGTGTCCGAGCGCTATTGGAAGCTGTCAAGGGCGACCCCGAGGTTGACGCTACGACCATCGGAACGGTCGGGGACAAAGGATACGACGGTTTCATGTACATGGTCCGTCAGTAAATTAGAAAAGGCGAAGATGCCGCATCGTTTCTTGTGATTGAAAAGTAAAGAGATCTCCGAACAGTCACGGACAGGGTGCTCGGTACCCTTCGTCCAGAGCTGCATTAGTGCTCACTGCCGAGCGTCTGATTGTTCGTCATGGCTGCCCTTCAAAGAGAACCGTTGCGGAAGTACAGTGTAAATTTCAAAACACAGCAGGCCAGGGTCCAGAACACCAGTCCTCCTGGAACAACCCTGGTACTACCCTCTCTCCCACGGTTACAGTACTCCACGTATTTCCCCGGAGGGGGTCTGCTCACGATCAAGGATTAAGAGCCAGCACACGAAATCAAACATGGGACGCAAATCCTCCACTCGACTCACCGGGCGGTGGCTGCTACGACCAACGGCAGTGTCCCGCTAAACCTAACCCCAATAATCAAGCCCATGCAACGGGGGCTATCCTACTAAAAGAGGACACAGGTGACTGACATCATCATAAACTCAGAAACCATCCAGGATACTGATGGTGCACCGCTTTGACAGAGAGCTCGAGGAATATTTTAGTTTGATGTCCCGCCGGGCCCAACCGGCCCGGGAGGACCTGGGTCGTATACATCGAGTTCTTTTGAGGATGGAGGCACTAATGTCGTGCTATCTAGGGAGTGTAACGGCATAGAGGACACTAGTTCTGAGTCCTAATGACTCATCCCTGACTATCATACGCGTTGCTCTTGTGCTTGGGGGTGAAGACCCAGGTCTCCGGGGCCGGGCCGAGGAACATCTCTGAGATCCGCACCCAGTCACGACTGTCCGCGCTTGCCAGCAGTGTCTCTGAGAGTCCGTTAGTCAGAAGCTATCTATTGAGTAGACTAAACCATACCGAGTTCGTCTCGTCCCCGGAACGCCGGTGCACGATCGTTGATTCGCGGCGGAAGCACCTCGAGGATACCCAACGGCACGTAACGGTACTGGAAGGACAACGCTTCACAGAGATACCGCCGTGCAGAGTTCACACCCGCCGTGTCGGTGCCAAAGTGTCTGCGGACATCGTCAGCGGAGCTCAACGAAAGCGAGCGGGAACACACGTCAAGCCGTACTCGGCGAACTTGCGGATGCCCTCGAGCCGCTCGCGGGCACTGATATCCCACTCGCGTCGCTCCTTGATCTCGGTGAAGATCCACGGCTTGATCAGGGCTCCGCGCGCGATCATCACACCGTCGACCCCGGACTGGTCGACGCATTCCCAGTATGCTTGTGAGCTGAAGCAGTCGCCGCCGCCAAAGATCGGCACGCGGGGCAGCGAGTGGTCGGTCTCGTACTCGCGCACAGCCGTCACGCACGACTTGACGTACGACCAATCGGCAAGTCGGGAGTACCGCTGCTGACGCGTACGACCGTGCAGCTGCAGGGTCTGCTCAGTACGATTGCAAGCAGGGACTGCTCTGGAACTCACCGTCACGGCGGCGGCACCGAATTCGGAACCCAGCTTCGGCATCAGCTTGTGGGCCGTGTTCTTGCCCTCCTTGACACCCGTCCGCAGCTTCACTGTCACGGGGACCTCACCCAGCGCTCGGTTCATCCCCACAACCAATCTGCCAAGACGATTAGGATTGTCGAGCACTAGACGAAAACGTAAATCAGCCCATTCAAAGCATGCCGGCAAAGGACTGACGCGCCGACCCGCTGCCCGTCTTGAATACCAAATCAATCGGGCACCCGCAGTTCAGGTCCACGAAATCGAGCCCGCCCGCCATTTCTCGCCCAAGCACCTCCGCGGCAGCGACAACGGTGCTGATCTTGCTTCCAGCGATCTGCACCCCAAAGTTCCGCTCACTGGGGTGCCGGCGCACGAGACTCCACTCCTCCTTCGACGCACCGAGGAATGAATGCGCGAGCCCCATCTCGCCGCAGGTGATGTCCGCGCCGAAGTCGACGCAGAGCCGCCGGAATGGCAGGTTCCCGACGGTCGTCAGCGGCGCGAGATACGTCTTGCCCTCCCAGTGCAAACGCCGCTTCTCGGCGAAGCGCACGGGCACGTCGGGTGCGTCGACCGCTGCTGCGCCGGTGGCCTGCTGCGCCGTCGTGCCGGTGCGCTCGGCAATGATCTCGTCCTCGTCATTCTGCTCCGGCTCAGCGATGACGACAGCAGTTTTCGGAGGTGCAGGTTTTGACGAGGCGGCACCGACTTCCGCCTCGTAGGCTTTGGTGACAGGTAGGGGGTACTGCGGCGACAGGTGAGCGGAGCTCGAGATCCATCGCAGCGACCCACTTTCTTCCCCTTCAGCGCTCTGAGGACGCTCACGTCGACCCTATTCATCTCCGCCTCGGTGCTCGCAGCCACAGCGATCCGCTCGTCGTTTTTCAAGTTTTCGAATGCGGTAGGGTCAGTGGCTGAGATCGTCGTGTGTGCTGCAGAGTACCGGCATCGCAATCCATAGCTGTCGTCAAGACTGCTCAGCGGCGGAAAGCGAGAGTTGGAACGTATCCACCGACCGGCATTCACCCAAAGCCTCCCACAGTGGACACGCCGCAGGCTCCCCCGGGACCGGCCGCGTGTACTTCATGTAGTCTGGCTCGGCATCGACCTCCATCTCCGTCTGCCCCTCCCCAGCGGTCTCCTTCACACTCGATGCCCGCAGCGGTAATGCCATGTGCTGCACATCCTCCGCAACAGGCAACCGCATCCCAGGCGGCTTCTCCTCCAAGTACTTCGCGACATCGTGGCTGTTCCTGCACGCGTCGCCAAAGTCACACACCCGTCCCGCGGCGACGAGGTAGCACAGGTCGACGCCCTCGTGCACCTTCGCGAAGCGGCGGCCCTTGTTCGACCCCGTCTGCGCCTTTTTGAGCGCCTTCTTCTCGGCTTTGGACAGGCGCGGGCCGTCACGCGCGTGGTGCTGTGAATTTGAGTTCGAGTCGCGGGCGTCGCGGGTGGGCCGGGCGGACGATTCCGCGGCGTCGTCGTCTGGAACGGAGTTGCTGGAGGCGTTGGCGATGGGAAGGAGGAATCTGTAGGACAGGGCCGTGACCCGGGGGTAAGCGATGGCGTGGAGCCACGATGGTAGAGGAAAGGCGTACTCGGGTTTAACACGCGCTTCGCCGGGCGGGAGGGTACTCATTGTCGTCGCAAGGCGGGGAACCTACGCGAGAGGGAAAAAGCTTATCTGATCGATGACTCAACTCAATCGTCCAATCGACCCTCCACGTGACCCTCTCCAGTTGGAAACCAAGTCAAAAGTTGCGCATGCAGAAGGGACGAAGACATGTCTATGGAAGCTTCATATGAGTGAGGGAAACCGTATCATATCCTTCATTCGAGCGATACTAGGTGATTTCCAGTCGAGCTAGGCCGGCCTCAGATAATCGGCGAGTAACAGATTCCGTTGGTCGCACGACTCGCATGTGGATCAGCAGTTCCAGAGTTCAGTGTTGACGGGGTCTGGTCCGGCGGCACTCCCGGTCCCAGTTCACCGCAGAGGGCCGATATGTGGGAGGAGATTTCTATATCAGTTCTATCCTTTTTGTTGCCTTTTGGGGGTGGATGGAGCCTGTCGAAATGAATACGTGGGTGTAGTTCTGTTCCAGTTCGGGCAGGATGGAGCATTACTTTGTCTTGTCCATTGTCGTGTGAGATGGACATCATTCGGATGAGAGGCTGCGATTGAAGCAATGGACTGTTTAAACTCGTATGCCCGTCATGTGCCTTGGCCGAAGAGTGAGCGATTTCCGGTAGTCTATCACGGCCGAAGGGAAACCCACCTGCCCACTTTGAACATACTATAGTATAGCAAACTGAGAATGGAATTGAACGCCGCCCCACGTGACATGAAACGAACCTCGTCTCAGACCATTTGCCGTCCACCATTTTCAGTGCAGCCTGTGAGAAATCTGCTCCATATGCTCACAGAGAACCTGAGTTATGCTCAGTTCATGGTCCCTCACTCGCCTCTTTCGTCTCTCGAACACAATAAAGAACGAACTGTTTCTGATGCCCAGGCTACTTACTGAGCCTAGCCGAGCTCTTTCTCACTAATCCATCGCACTGGAAGGTTTCACACTCGTCATCGAGCGCGTAGAGCCCTGGAAAATGTAGCATGGGAACTAAATGCTTGACCGACTTCCGTGAAGATGTGGACAAGTGTCATCAATGCCACTCATTACCGATCGATTTGGTTTGATCCGTTTGTGATCCGCGTTTAAAGCCATCAAGTCATCGACACGTTGCACGTGAGCTGTATACAAGTCACCAAGTGCACACTCATTAACAGCCGAAAGTCATCGCGTCGATTCCGCATGACGGGCACGCATCCAACCCCCCTGACCCCCGAAGAGCTCCGCGAGCATGAGTTCGCGCGCGAGGTCCGCGACGCACAAAGTCTAGTCGAATTCACCGGCGTCACGATAAACGAGGCGCTGCGCGCCTTGCGGGCATGCGGCGGGGACCTCGAGAAGGCTGGGAATCTTCTTTTCTTGTCCGCTCCAGACGAAACTTCCGCCGAATCCCCAAGCTCCGAAGAAGAAGAGAGTACGAAGTCCATCCGGTCTTATTTCGCGCATCTGTTCCCGCCGACCAACACGGGACCTGGGGATGTGCCTGGAATGAAGGGAGGGTCGCTCATCCAGCTTGACTCCAGAGAAGAGAATGATTCCGATCCTGATGGCCTGGAATCGGCTTCTGTCCGTGCGACCAGCAGGGCGTCCTCTCCAGGAGATTATGCGGCTCGTCCGACGGAGTGCGAGACCGAGCTTGATGATATGGCTGAGTCTGAGAGAGAAGCTGGGAGGTTTGTCTGATGCTGCTGCCCTGCTTTTCGAAGCGATTGTTGATTCGTGTCTCAGACCCATAGCCCTGCGCGCTCACCCGTCCTCCAGAGCGTATGCCGCGCATGCGAGTTCCCCTTTCATCACCGCTTTACAACGCTTTTCAACATCTGCAGATCATCCTCGCCCTTTTCCACATTCCGCAAGTCCGGCAAAAACTGTCCGAGCTCGGCATCTCACCTGAAGCGCCCAATTCACGAAGTCGCGGTATCTTATCGATGCAATCGCGTGGTGCTCTTGTTGATATTTCTCCAGAATACGCGACTTGGAAACTGGTCGAAATGTTCGCCTGTCTCGACCTGGCTAGAATATCGTTCTTTGTTGATTCTGAGCTCCTTGATGCGTGGAATGCCGTCCCCTGCGAAAGAAACGGACCCACCATCCCGGCCCTGTCCAGTCGTAGATAAGTCTGTGCACGGTCTGCCGCTTTTGTTGATCATCCCTGCAGAATTGTTGGGAAACATAATGCGAGGTGTTGATACCGTGTTGCTTTCTGCAGACAGATCATTCAATCGTCGTCGAGGGTCCAGTCCGCAATGAATATTCTATCCATTTCTGATGCATTCCCAGCTCGCGCACTCGGCTTTTCGGCTCTGAATGGCAACGAATCTTGATTACAGCCTCCGGCATACCCCAAACTGGCCCCTCCCTTCTGGGGTACATCATCCCGCTGCCTTCCTCGGGCGTACACGACTCCGGCGACCTTGTCAAGCAACTGTCTGCGACACTTCACCAGTTCTGCGGGGACAAATCCTCAGACCACCAGGTCATCACGGAGCCTTCGGAAATCATTGTGTTCCAGATCTCGGCTGCGATCCGCCATCTTCCCACCACCATATACCTGGATGAGTTCCTTGAGGAGAATTTGTCATTGGCCAACGAGACCAAGCGCGCAACTAAGCACGTGCAGAAGGAGATCGCGGACATTGAGAGAGAACGGGAGAAGTTCATGCTATTTGAGGTGCGTGCGCCCAGTCAGTAGCACGATTTTCGCTCACGTCTCAGGGAGAAAATCCGCTCGAGATGCTCCGTCAGGTCATCTCCGAGTACGAACATCCGAATGTACTGAAGCCACGCAGCGAAGCCGATGCGCGGCGCATGGAAGAACTTGCTCTGAGCCTGCGCCAGGTATTGCAGAGACTTGAAGTCCACGTCCAGTGTCAGTGCATCGACTGATGTGTGTCTCCCACCTCTCATCCAATTGAATGACGGAAATAGCTCTTGACGAGAAGTCGCTGGCACTGCGAAAGGATTTGGACGCAATCACGAACGAGGAGGATCTCAAGATGACGCCGGTGCGTTCTTCTGACTCTCTGCCGATCTCGGGTACGTAGACTCGATGCAGTACGATCTGCGAGCATCCTTGGTGACGGACGGGGAGCACGGTCCTCGTAACACTTACTCGTACGTGCGGGCAGAGTCGAAATGGTGGAAACTGCTCGATGGGGAGGTCATTGAGGTGAGCCGAACTCAACTCGGGCATAGATTCCTTCGGAGCTATTACTGAGTTATCGCTCATTCGAAGGTGCCGGAAGATCTCGTACTGTTGGATTCCCCCTATCTCGTGTTTTACAGCCAGCGACAGCCTGACACTGCTTCGGCACCGAACACCTGGCCTTCATTTCTCGTAGTGCGTTTTTATCTATCGGGTGCTGACCGTGCTCTGACCGCTTGTAGGAGGAAATCGAACGCAGCTCTCAAATGTTCCTAGAGACTCTTCGGAAAGAGAGCTCCCGATACACGAGTGGGGCTCCATAATTCATCTATGTTGTCAATACATTCATTTTGGTACATATCTCTTAACTTTGAGTGACCGTGAAAACGGAAGTAGAAACCAAGCAAGTTGATGGGAGGGGATCTGGTGACGTGATCACGATGACGGTCACTGAAGTGGTCGATTTCCTGTTCTCGGACGTCCTTCGGTGCCCCGCCCTCCCCCCGACTTATACCTTCGACCATTTCAAATACACCCGTCATTCCACCCAATACTGACGCTCTTGGTGTCTCTGTTCAGATTATCACCTCCATCGGGTGCCATCAGTCGATACAAAAGGACGTCACAATGGCAGGCGAACAAGTTTGCCCCGCACAACACCCTGACACGGCATGGACTCCAAGACCGACATCGAGAAGGGCCACCTTGAGCTGTCCGTCTCTGCACCGGCGCCCACTCAATCTGGCTTGACGGCGAGGTGGTCCTTGCGCAAGACCTGTGTGCTGGCGCTGGTTACATGGGCTGCGTTCCAAGTACGTGGAGGTGCTCTCCCTGCATCTGCGTTCCTGAGGTATCCCGCAGTACTTCATGCGAGAGCCGGCGTACCCCATCCCTTCCGACCTCTCTCTGCGGGATTGCGTCTCTCGATGGGATGAGTTCTCGGATTCGGCTGCTACAGCACACTTCACCTTCGGCGTGCCACAGGAGACGCTGCTTCTCGTGTCCAAGGGCGCGTACTCGAGCGGGAACCTGCGCATCTCGGCTACTGAGGATCGCGACGACACAGCGGAGGTGAAAGTGATTGTCCGGTACCGCGACCAAGAGCGACGTGATGCAGCGAAGGTGTGCCTGATTGAGCGCGGTGAAGGAGAGCTTGGCGTTGGGCTCTTTGTGAGCGTCCCTTTCCGGGTTCGGAGGTTCCGAGACTGATCGCATCGTCAGACTTCGCAGATGGGGCGCGAGTTCCCTAACCGCCGCAATCGGCTCGAGTTCGACGTGGAACTCGTACTCCCGCGGTCTGCCTTCGTCAAAACGCTCGAAACGGACGTGGGCAACTTTGGTCACGACGTGCAGTCGCTTGAGAATCTCGGGCATCTTTCTCTCAAGGGTTCGAATGGGGCGATATCGACCGGGGTGCGTATTCAATCCTTTGCGTGATGGCGATAAGCTAACGAGCAGCTCAGGCCATCTCGGCTTCCGAAGCATCGCTCTCCACGTCCAATGGGGTGATAGCCACTGAGGTGTGTCTGTCCGTGTCTGCTTTCAGTGCATCTTCTCAACCAGCGTAGCGCGTCATGGCGTCCAGCATCGTACTCCGGTCGTCCAACGGCGCGATTTCCGGCATCTTGAGTGCCACCGAATCGATTGATGTTTCGACAAGCAATGGGCGGGTGGATCTCTCGTTGGTGCTGGAGGGAAAAGACGATGACGTGGTCAAGAACCTGTCGGTCAAGACGAGCAACTCGTGAGTGAATTCCCCGTCGCTCCCTCTGTACCCGTTTGATGCCTCTTCGCAGGGATGTCATGGCGAACGTTACTCTGAGCACTGCATCCGCGCAGGGGGGCTGCTTCACGCTCCTCACCCAGACCTCCAACGGCCGCCTCGACACCAGGATCCTCTCCGCTCCGCTTGACTCGACCCTCAAAATCGAGGCGCGGACATCAAACAACGCCGCATCGCTCGCGCTCCCCGCCGCCTACGAGGGCTCGTTCTCGGTTGCGACGTCGAATGGGCCGGCGACTGTACACCGCGTGGAGGGCAGGGAGCGGGACCCCAGGTGCGTTGTGGCGGGCGGCGACTGCGAGCCGAGGGAGCGCCAAGTGAAGATCACGGCGCCGAGGAAGGGGCAGGCGGCGGGGACGGTGTATTGGGACGAGGGCAATGCGAGTCGAGGGGAGGTGACGCTGAAGACGTCGAATGCTAACGCAGATATCTACATATGAATCTATGTGTCCACTCGCAATCAACGTGTGGTTTTGCTGGCATCCGATCGTCTCTAGTGCTGTGAATGAGTGTTTTGAACTGGATGTGCTGTCCTCTTCCTCCGTGACTACCTGCTGGCTACTCCTCCGTATGTTGGGTACTGAATGTATGTACCTCTACTATTCGGTACATACATACATCAAGCTATTTTAGTCCCAGTGCATCATCTGAAGTTGGAGAGGCGTATCCGGGCCGTCCGGGCCGTCGTTATCCAAGGCGATCGATTTAATCATGTCAGCGACTTTACCTTCCAAACTTCTTCCCCACCCCCACAGTCGACCCCGCACCATGGCTATTCCCCTCGTCAAACTCAACAGCGGATACGATATCCCTATCCTCGGTCTCGGTGCGTGTTACGTGCCCTTCTGAGTCGCAGTGAATGAGCTAAGGATCCGTTCACCTCAGGCACCTGGCAATCGAAGCCCGAGGAAGTGTCCTCGGCGGTCGAGTACGCGCTCAAGGAGACCAAACTGCGTCACATCGACTGTGCCTTCGGGTGAGGCGTGTGGCCGCTCGATCTGTGTTTGCGTTGACCCGTTTGTGCGGGATCCAGGTACGGCAACGAGAAAGACGTCGGTGCTGGCGTGAAGGCCTCTGGTGTCCCTCGATCGGAGATCTTCGTGAGTCGAACTCTGTGCTCGGGTGAAATATAAACTTATCAGTCTCCCAGATCACCAGCAAGGTGTGGAGCACCTGGCACTCTCGCGTCGAGGAGTGCCTGGACCAGACCCTGGCCAACTTGGGCACTGATTACCTCGATCGTGAGTTGCGTCGGCTTTTTTTGCCCCTCCCACTGAACAACATCCGTGCAGTGTACCTCATCCACTGGCCTGTCCCGTTGAACCCGAACGGCAACCACCCGATGATCCCTACCCTCCCGGATGGCAAGCGTGACGTCGTCCACTCCTGGGACCTCAAGGACACCTGGAAGCAGATGGAAGCCTTGGTCAAGAAAGGCGCGTCCACTCTCCTCCGCACCCTTACTGACTGCTCGCTTATCTCGCATGCGCGCGCACCCATCAAGGCAAAGTCCGGAGCATCGGCGTATCGAACTTCTCGGAGATGAACCTCGAGAAGATCCTGCCGACCGCGGAGATCGTGCCCGCCGTGGACCAGCTCGAGCTGCACGTGTACAACCCCCAGCACAAGCTCCTCGCGTATCTGCGCGCCAAGGGCATCCACCCGCAGGCCTACTCGCCCCTCGGCTCGACCGGCTCGCCGCTGTTCAGCGACGAGGTCGTGACCGAGATCGCCGGCGCGCATGGGCTGCAGGCGGCGGATGTGCTGATTGGATATCTCCGTGAGCGAGCGCATTGCGGCTGAGCATTCGTTGGTTGGGAATATGGCTGACGGAAACTTGCGCAGTCGCAAAAGATATCATCACGCTCCCCAAGTCGGTCACCCCATCGCGCATCGCTGCAAATGCGGCTGGCCCGATTGCGGCTCTGGGTAAGCTCTCCAAGGAGGAAATCGAGCGTCTGGATGGGCTGGCTGCCGCCGGGAAGCAGAAGCGGTTCATCATGCCGCCTTGGCGTAAGTGCAATTCTGTCGTCTTCAGATAGATGAATCTCATCTTCATTGAATCAGCGGTCGAACTGGGCTTTGAGAACTGGGGCTGAAACTTTGGCGTCATATGCGGGCGTTGGTGCATTTTAGTGCAGAATATAAATGACAAATGACAAATGAAATGAATATGCTGTATCTGTATCAATCGTGGCGAAGTCCAGATTTGTGGACACATCGATGCCGCTATGGATTCAAATTCATGGAAAGGGCTTCTGTCGAATCCTGTAATGCGCCGTTGTCAATGTTCTCTAAAAATGAATCCAGGGGCTCCCGGAAACACGGAAACATTCAGCGCACACTTTCTGTTTATGTCCAATCCCAGAGAAACGTTTCTATCGACGCCCGTTTCGCATCGATATCGGATGCAAACTATGCATCCCGTTACTGTTTGGTAGACAAGCTGCCAGCGCGAACGATGGACAACTGAATTACGCATAGTACAAGATACGAATATCGGAATGAGTAGCGAACACTACAGCCCCGGAGAAGGCAGAGACATGCACCTCATTGCCACAGTGCGCCATATCCGCCTAGACATCCCCCGTAGCATCAGTTCCAGGGGCCAACACCTTGTGTTTGCGGTCTCCATACGCGTCGAAGATGGCGGAGTGTCCCGAGTACGTGATCTGGCGGTAGAGCAGGTTGGGCCGGCACTCCAACGGCGGTAGATGCTCACGCAGAGCGACGGAATGCCCGCCGGCGGCGCTGAGATCCAGCGTGTATCGACGCAGATAGGATGGGGCGCTCTCCGACTGGCCGGACGCATGCACCCAGACGCGGAAGCGCGCTGCTCGCAGAGGATCTGGATGGACGCTGAGCTGGTCGATGCTGGTCGATACCAGCTGGGGTATCACGTGGTACGCTACTGGAGACATGAGAGTGAGATCCTGGATGCCATTCCCGTTAAGCAGATGTGATGTCTCGTATACGTAGAGTGCCTCCGATTCGGACTTGTCACCACCGTTACGAGGTAGCGCTTGGTAGACCTTGAAGACGAGGAATTTGGGTATGACACTCCACAAGGGATGTGTTCCCTGCATGGAGGAGTCGTTGAGGCGTGCGAGAGCGTGTTAGAAGAACACCGACCTCCAGAAGGATGTAGCTGGAACGAACACCGACCTCCGGAAGGATGTAGCTGGAACGACTGCCCGACTTGCAGTCGCATATCAGCACTATCGCATCGCCAAAAACCGTCGAGCTTCCCACGACGGCAATGTCACCCACGAGAAAGGGCCGGTGGAACGGATTGTCGTCGGCAGTGTCGGGCACTCGCCAGCTGAACAGGATCGTGTGCGTCCAGCTTTGCGTGTCGATCTCGAGCACCTCCAGATGGCTGCCCCCGTCGATCATCAGTGGAGACCTCAAGGGAAAGCTACCCGGTGCTCACTTTTCCCGCTGTGCCGCGAACGTCTGGACGCACTGCAGGATGCGCAGCGTCCCCGCGTCCGCCCCACCCAGCTCATCCACCGCAAACGCCAACACCTTCCCTGACTCAATCTCCCCCAGCGGTCCGTGCTCCGCGTCATACAGCCACACCAGCCTGTCGGTGGACACCTCCCAGCACTCGAGGCGGTACCAGTTCCTGAAGAGCGCGAACCGCCCGCTCGGCGTCAGAACGGCCGCGTTCTCCCGGGTGAGGATCCCCGGGCCGTTCCGCACACTCGGATGAAGCACGATGCGGCGGCCTATACGGGGCTGGAAGGTGTCCGCGGATTCGCCGGCGACGCGTGGCTGTGCGGACGGCGGTGACCAGGATTCGGGGCCGAGCACGAGTCGTTGGATGCGCTGTTTCAGCTCGGCGCCCGAGAGCGCGCGCAGGTCACCGTCTCCCTCTCCGCCGGACTCGATGATGTTACGATGCTGTAGGTTTTGCGCCTGTGCGAGCCAGACGGAGGCGTCGCTGCCGATGTCGTGCAGATACCGACACGTCTGTGGGAGTTTGAGTGTGGCGTGTCGACCGCGGCGACGGCGTGGGACACCTCTCCGAGCGCGAGCACACTGGCGATATCACATCTCGAGAGTATCTGGAGGATGAGCTCGAGAGGGCAGTCGAGTAGTTGGAGACCCATTGGCGAATCGCTTGACCGTAAGGAGTAAGAGCGGTCAAGTTGATCTTGATGATGATCAGATTCAGTCGGTCACCAGATCTGATACCCCCAGAGCTTCCCATATAGCCCTCACAAACGGAGAAAAGTTTAGCTAGGATGCAGTTATAGAAGCATCCATTGCCCCAGGTACCCGAAACACGAACTTGCCCATGTTACGGGACTGGTTTGGTGTTTTCCCCTCTTGGTTACGTGCTACGGCAGGCATGAACTGAAGAACAAGAGCTGACGTCATAGGCTGACGAGATTTCACGTGATAAATACTGCGGCCTGCTCCGTGATCCCATCCGTCACGTTCCGGTTGCTATGTAGTATCACGTGGCACTGCGTTCCTAGTGTTCGTGAGTCTGCTCGAATCTGGCGTGTCCAATCCCACGAAAGTGCGCTTTCATCTTAAACCGGCGCCAGCACCGTGTGGAAGCCCAAGTGCCGCGTAAACTCGTGACACCTGACCATGGCCGACGTGCCTAATTATCTGATAAAACACGTGCGATCACTGCAGCACGGCGATCGGGCTGAATCCGGTACCAGGTCCTGTGAGATGCTTCCTCGCTCTTCCTCGTGTAGGGGAGGGACAGTGAGTGCTCGTCACCCTCTTGGAGTGGGTCTATGAGGTATCTCCGTTTCTCTTCCGCCAGCTATTTTACTAGTGCCTGGAGTCCTCAGTGCGGAACGGGAACAAACTTTCGATCAGGTCCCTGCTTCCAAACTTCCGCTCGTGTAATTCCACTCCTGATTGGTTTTAGTTTCCAAGGACACCCGAGCATACACCCCCTGAAAGCTCATTTGAACTCTCTGGCTGAGAGAAACTCGCGTTCAAACTCGCGTTTCAAATGGAGGTGCCAGCGCAGTATAAAGAGAAGACCTAGAGTGAGCTGCAAGTTCAACAATCGATCCTTCCTCGTTCTCGTTCAGTACTCTCTCTCACTCACGCTCTCTCATTCACGACACTCCTTCTGATGCACTCATTCACGATCATCTCTCTTACGCTCGCGGCTCTCTCCCCGCTCGCCCACGCCGCTGCGCACCTGCCTCGCACGGGACTCGATGCACGCCCCCATGCTGCGACGAACGTCTGCGCCTGCATCGGCGGCGTGATCCGCGTCGACGGCACCGACTGCGGCACACTCGGTCTGCGGCGTCCTCTTTTCTCTACCCGCTGTCGTCTGATCGAAGCCCCACAGAACCCGAGTCGCTGTGCGCCTGTGTTAGCACGGTCGCGGACGCCGTCGCCAGTGTCTCCCTTGCCCCGATCAAGGCCGCGTTGGCTATCGGCGCCGCGGCGGAGGCCGAGCTCGTCGCCTCGCTGAAGACCCAGGTCAGTCCCTCCGCCGTCGCAGCTAGACAAGTCCTTGGCTCACCCCATCTCGCCAGATCCAGTCCTCCCCGAAGAGGAGGACCTGCGCGCATCCGCCGCACTCCGTACCGGCCTGTTCCCGCGAGGATCTGTGCGGTTTCACATGTCGATCCGGCTTCGAGCTGTCGAATGGCCTGTGCTTCCCGGTCGCCGCTAGTACAGGGGTCAATGCCGCTGTGGATGCTGTGGCCGCCTCTGTTGATGCATCCACCTCCGTCACTGTTTCGGTCGCCGCGAATGTCTGCGCATGCGTGTCCGGTCCACTTTCGGTCAAAGGCAAGAGCTGTGGCTCCATTGCTCGTACGCCCCCTCCTCGCTTTCTGGGTTGAATCGAGCCACTGATGGTACTCGCAGCTGAGGACGAACTGTGTGCTTGTGTTGGCGCCCTCGCTGGCGTCGTCGCTAAATCGGCTCTGGCACCCATCAAAGTCGCGCTCTCTCTCGCTTCCGAGGCCGACGTCGTCGCGTCTCTTACCGCCATGGTTCGTGTCTACCCAAGTCCCTTCATTATCATCATTCCAAGGCCTCATACGCTTTTTCAGATCTCTGCCACTGCTGAGGGCGAGAGGAAGAAGACGTGTTCGTTCCCGGCGCACGCCGTTTCGTCTTGCTCTCCCGAGAACATCTGCGGGTTCTCCTGTCTATCCGGTTTCAAACTCGCCAACGGCGTTTGTGTCGCTGTGGACGCTGACGTAGGTACTGCGGTTTCGCTCGCAGGTAACGTCTGCGGGTGCATTTCTGGACCGGTCTCGGTGAGAGGAAACGACTGCGGGTCCATCCCTCGTGCGTTCACGTGGTTTTTGTTCATTATGTTCTAATCTGATTTGGGACCGACCGAATGTCCAGCTGCTCAAGAGCTCTGCACATGCGTCAGCTCTCTCTCAGGCCTCGTTGCTGTATCCACCCTCGCGCCTATCCAAGCAGCACGCTCTTTCGCAGCCGATGTCGAGATCGTTGCTTCGCTCACTGCCATGGTGCGCCTCCCCTGATTATCGTCAGCGCACTATCTGTCCACTCAAGCTTCGCATGTTAGATCGCAGCTGCCCATGAAAGCGACCGACAGACCTGCACTTTCCCCGCACACGCAACTCCGTCGTGCTCGCGTGAAAACTTGTGCGGATTCACCTGTCTCCCCGGGCACAAGCTTCATGCCGGACTTTGCGTCGATGGCGGGCTGCTTGGGCTCGGTTTCGGCCTTGGCTTCGGGATCTCCCTTTGACGCGCAGATTGTACACCTCAGTTACCACCGCCATCACCCGGTTGCACCCCCGCGGGGGTCCTCCTGGGTACCCTCAGACGTAGCTCTGAGGGTACCTAACAGGTACCCCCCTGCGGGGCCCGCGGGGGGGATTTGGTCCATTTGGGGGCGGGGGCATATGCGGGGGTCAGCAGGGGGGGGTCTGTACATGTCATGTGATTTATCATTGGGAGCGGGCAGGTGGGCGCGAAAAAAAAAATGAATCACATGACACATCCAATGGGCGGGATGGCGGCTGATGGCGGGGTAAAAAAATCACGTGATGCACCGCATGAAAATTATCAAAAATGGCTAGCAGGGGTTGGCGGGGGTTAGCGGGGGCGCTACTGGCCCCCCGCACACCATGGCGGGCAGTGGGCGCATTATCACGTGACTTTTGGGGCACCTTTTGTGCACCATTCGGCATGATTTCGGAGGTGTTGCTTGATCCATTGCATGCTGTGGCAGACAATGGGCGCATAATCACGTGATTTTCCGCCCCAAAAAGATGGAAGCCTTCCCCAAATCATCCTGGTATCATTTCTATCGGTAAATACACTAGTTAAGCATGAATTTGAGCTTAGAAAACCCAAAATGCACCCTGCACAATGGGACTGGTGATGCACTTGATCCCATCATTTGGCGGGGTCTGCTGCGGGGGGTGCCACGGGGGGTGCTGCGGGGGGTGCTGCGGGGGGTGCCGCAGGGGGTGCCACAAGGGGTGCCGCAGGGGGTGCCGCAGGGCCCGCTGTGGGGTCAACCACAGGAGCAGGGGTAGGGGTGCATTGCATCATATTTTGATCTATCTATTCTCGCTGTGGTCATAGCATGCAGCATAATTATCCTTCATTTTGCCAGGAGTTTGGAGGCTGTGTCTGGGGTTGGTCTGCAGCTACAGCCATGTGACTCCCTGATGCTTCGGCAGGGGCTGGGATATCAAAACTGTGCAATATTGTCTGCATAATCCAGGCATGTAGGGTTAAAAAGAAAGTGTGATTTGTTCATTTTTTGGCTGGCAGGGTAGGTGGGCTGACATCATGGGCTGCATCGGGTCCACTGTCAACTCATTGATTGTTTCGTCTGCTCATTCTATACACATGCCCATTGGTAAACTGATCATGCTGTAGGCACAGTCTAATCTTACCCAGTGGATAATACCACACGTTAATTATGCACCTAATGTCACACTTCCTGTCTGGGACTCATTGAAGTTCATCTGTTCTGTGTTACTTTACAAGCAGTTTGCTTTAGTTGCAACATGAACAGATGTAATAGAGTGGATTTGACATGCCCTGAATTGATTCCTAGGTGGAATATGAGACAATGGATTCACCAGCAAGTTGCCTCACAATAGTCAGAGATTGGTAATATTTGAATTTCAAATTTCATATACAACACTCTGTGCACTCAGAGCTCGTATATTTGCAAGATAGACTGTAGAGACATAGATGGTTACTTTTACTACCTCTGGGGCTGCACACATCCTTGCCATGACCCACTGCCTGCACCCCTGCTGGTACCCCCATTGGCACCCCCGCTGGCACCCCTGTTGGCACCCCCGCCGGCACCCCCGCTGGCACCCCCGCCAGTCTAGCACCCCCCGCTGCACCGGTGCCTTGTCCCCGTGATTTTCTTATATGTAAGATTATGTAAACTGACAGCTCGGAACACGTCAAGTCACTAGCCAATCAGAACCTGTATAAACGTCGTACCTAAGTGTTTACTGCTCTTCTAACACTGTTCCTACAGTTATGCAGCTGAAAACCATCGGAATAAGGTCTCCTTCTGCTATTCTTATTGAATATGTAGATACTTCATATCATTTGTCCACCTAAAATTCGAAACATGAAAAGAGTTCACCATTGCTCAAGGTTCCTATGTAGACAATGGTTCAACATGGTTCACTTTGGGTATGGCAAAAAATATTTTTTCTACACACAAGCAATTCAATACAGCTGAATGATATACTCTTTGGCAGTGTCTGAAACAAATTCTGAGAGCCCTGGACCCTGGAACTATTCAAAAACTTGAAATGAGTCCGAAAAATAGGGTCTTGATAAACATGAGATATGGGCTGGTTTGAAGAGACATGGGCCACCGGTCATGTTGAATATAGTATTTTACAATGTTTCGGTGCCCTACCTCTCATCACATGGCCTCATTTCCCACTAAAAAGGGTGCATACACACTCAAGCTCATAAAATCAATTGTCACCCAGAAACAAGAGCAGTGAAGTTGTTTCACTGGGATTGGGTAAAGGTTACCTAGAAGTCACTTGGGTTGCAGTACAGAAGCTTTGGAAAGTGATTTTGTAGTTGATCCACATTTGGTAGGCTGGCAGATGCTTGTGCACCCCCACGGCACCCCCCGTGGCACCCCCCGCGGCACCCCCTGTGGTTGACCCCCCCCCCCAACCCCTGCAAGGATTTAATTGACAAATGTCCTGCTCAATCCATTGTAAGAGTCTACAGTATTATTGGATTCAGTAAAGGGCCCAAATGGTGTGTAGACAAGAAGTATGAAATCCGGAAATCAACAATTATGACACCTCCACGGAATATGCTGCAAATGGAGAGAAAAATTTGAGTGCAGACAGACTACCTGAAGCAAACAGACAGAGAAAAGAAACATTAGCCATTTCTTGTTGATGATGTTGGCTGTCCCTGGAGCATGTACTTGGGAGATTTGCCTAACAAATCAAGTTGCACATTTTTCAAATTTTTAGTTTGACCTGACAGCTTGAGCAGACCATGCTAAAATGAACCAAGTCATATATATCAGTGCCCCAAGCCAAGCCAAAAGATTTAGGTAAATTTGCACAGTTTTGATATCCCAGCCCCTGCCGAAGCATCAGGGAGTCACATGGCTGTAGCTGCAGACCAACCCCAGACACAGCCTCCAAACTCCTGGCAAAATGAAGGATAATTATGCTGCATGCTATGACCACAGCGAGAATAGATAGATCAAAATATGATGCAATGCACCCCTACCCCTGCTCCTGTGGTTGACCCCACAGCGGGCCCTGCGGCACCCCCTGCGGCACCCCTTGTGGCACCCCCTGCGGCACCCCCCGCAGCACCCCCCGCAGCACCCCCCGTGGCACCCCCCGCAGCAGACCCCGCCAAATGATGGGATCAAGTGCATCACCAGTCCCATTGTGCAGGGTGCATTTTGGGTTTTCTAAGCTCAAATTCATGCTTAACTAGTGTATTTACCGATAGAAATGATACCAGGATGATTTGGGGAAGGCTTCCATCTTTTTGGGGCGGAAAATCACGTGATTATGCGCCCATTGTCTGCCACAGCATGCAATGGATCAAGCAACACCTCCGAAATCATGCCGAATGGTGCACAAAAGGTGCCCCAAAAGTCACGTGATAATGCGCCCACTGCCCGCCATGGTGTGCGGGGGGCCAGTAGCGCCCCCGCTAACCCCCGCCAACCCCTGCTAGCCATTTTTGATAATTTTCATGCGGTGCATCACGTGATTTTTTTACCCCGCCATCAGCCGCCATCCCGCCCATTGGATGTGTCATGTGATTCATTTTTTTTTTCGCGCCCACCTGCCCGCTCCCAATGATAAATCACATGACATGTACAGACCCCCCCCTGCTGACCCCCGCATATGCCCCCGCCCCCAAATGGACCAAATCCCCCCCGCGGGCCCCGCAGGGGGGTACCTGTTAGGTACCCTCAGAGCTACGTCTGAGGGTACCCAGGAGGACCCCCGCGGGGGTGCAACCGGGTGATGGCGGTGGTAACTGAGGTGAGATTGTACGATTCTTACACAACGCTCTGGACCTGATACCTCACATAGTTTCATAATTTCTGTTTTTCTTTTTGCCTTGCGCAAGAATGAGTGTTTAGAGAATGAAAGATTGGAATTAACCCATTTCACACTCCCCCGCACCGCAAGTGACCTCTTGGACAGGAGCTACAAGGTTGAGAACAACCGTGGCCTGAACGCCCAATCTCTCAAGATGCCAATCTCAGAGGGAAACAAGTCCCGCTGAACCGAGTGCTGCCCAGTCCTGTCCAGTCTTATATGTGCGCAGACAGAAACGTTCATGCGACGGCTCAATTGGGAGATCACATCATGAATAAGGTCTCACTTCAAATTGTCTGAAATCGCACGCTTACACCTCGGTTTGAGGCGAGAATCGCGCTAAAATGGGCACCCCATTTCAGATAGCAGCTGCGAGAATCTTGTGACGAAATTGCCTTGCTTGTCAAGGCTTCTCCGCCCTCATAATTGGCTCGATTTCGTCGGACCCGGCGTCCCCCGCTGTTCCGTTCCTCTCCGTGCTCTTCCTGTCGGTCTCGAGTTCGACTCGTCGTAGTTGCCCGTATCAAAGAAAAAATTAGAATTAATTTTGATATCAGATAGCAAGGCAGAATGTCGGCGGAGCCGACGCTTTCTAGTGTAAAATGATTGGAGAAAGTCATGTGCCATGTCAGGCGGTGTTACGGCCCAGATATAAGATTACAAAGAAGGTCATGATCGAGAGTCGAGGTCGAGATTCAGTGACCCAGCTCCAGCTAACAGTCACAACACAGCGTACATTAGTTCGACGACTACGCTCGGTCGTAGTATGTACCCATCTTCCCTCATCACGACGGAAACCAAGTCGTCCACAACACGCTCAATTGGCCTGCCAAAATCTCCGGTGGCGATCAAATATAGATCTCCACCCGGCTCACTGGCTCAAGCCGCACCGCAAGAGCTGAATAATCAGCGAGTGGCTTCCAGCATACGCCGGTTTTAGAATGGACATGAACCAACCTCTCTGCTAACGTCATACATAGCCGCAGGGCCGTGATGATCGCATGAACGTGTTTGTGGAAAACTCATCACCGAGGGTTTTCTGGCTCGGGTAGGCGCGAACTTGGAGACGGTTGCAGTAATTCGAGCACAATCAAGATTTCTGCGAATTTGATTCCCAGTTTTGGATATCAGCTATCGTGGATTCGGTGCTATCCTGGGCTCTGCTGAAAACTATTCCATATCTAGGACCGCGGGCCCGTTTTGCCATATCTCACGGTAGGTTATCCCAGTCCCATGACAGGCGGCGAGGCGAGTCTTCTTAAGCTGACATAGTTTTCATGAAGGGGCGCAGTAGTTCGATCTGCACTACGCCTCCAAGCCAAGACAGCATGGAGTTCACCCTCCTCAACCTTCTCCTCTTCCTGCCCGCTGTCGCCCTCTGTCACAAGTTCCTCTATCGCTCCACACGTCGCTCCCTTCCTCTTCCTCCCGGCCCGCCGAAGAAACCGCTCATTGGCAACCTACTGGACCTACCGGCTAATCAGCAGTGGCTGACCTTCGCGAAATGGAGCAAGCAATACGGTACGGGACTATTCCGTTGGTGCGCTTGGATCTGCAGAGATGCTTACTGGACGCGAAAGATTCTGACATCATCCATGTATCGGCCCTGGGGACGTCGATTGTCGTCCTGTCATCCCCTGAAGCGGTGAAGGAGCTTTTTGAGAAGCGCTCAGCCGTGTATTCGAGTCGGTAGGGACTTCATTCTCACAAACCGGCATTACAGCTGACCGCAAACGAAGGGTCCAAGCGCCTATGGTGAACGAGCTCATGGGCTGGGGTGGATTTATTGGATTCTTGCCCTACGGAGCAAGATGGTAGGCGGAGACTCTTGTGCTCTGATTCGGTTGACTCAAAATAAGCGTCCGTAGGCGGAGCCACCGCAAGGCTTTCATGCAAGCTTTCAATCCTGAGGTAGTGAAGCAGTTTTATTCGCAGCAGCGCAACGGCGTGCACAGTCTGCTGCGCCGCATTCTCGCACAGCCAAATGACGATGTCATCGGGCAGTTCTGGATGTGGGTGTCTGCTGGAAATTGGGTTTATCCAATCTATCTGACTATGCTGTTAGATTTGCCGCGGGAATTATCATGGATATCGCATACGGTATCAAGATTCGCACTTCCGACGATCAGTACGTCTCCATCGTCGCGGAAGCAGTGCATGGACTTTCCGTTGCGAGTGTTCCCGGGGCGTTTCTCGTCGTACGTGTTCGACGTTATCCAATGCAATCCAAGGGCTAAAATGGCGCCTTTACGGGCAGGATATCATCCCCCCTCTCAAGTACATCCCGAGGTGGGTCCCCGGAGCAGGGTTCAAGCGAGAGGCGCAGAAGTGGTGCAAAGCAACCATGGATGCCGTGGAGATGCCCTTCAGCGAGACGAAGCGCATGATGGTCTGTCGCGTTCTTTTCCCTTGGGAAGAGATCCTCAGCCGTTCTGACCGCACCCTACCGATCAGTCCGCGGGTACGGCATCCGCGTCGTACTCTTCCCTGCATCTGCGCACGCTCGAGGATCCGTCTTCGACTCTATCGCCGAACGCCAAGATCGCACACGAAGAGGTCGTCAAGTACACCGCGGCCGCGATGTACGTTGCAGGTGTCGACACGGTGGTCTCGGCGCTGGGCACATTCGTCATCGCGATGCTGCTGTATCCCGACGTTCAACGCGCGGCGCAGCAGGAAATTGACGAAGTCTGGGGGCACGGGAATTTGCCAGACTTTAGCGAAGACGCCGAGGAGCGCATGCCGTACCTTGGAGCTTTGATCAAGGAAGTCCTCAGATGGCGCAACATCACGGCCGTTGCAATTCCACATCAGAGCGAAGCGGAGGACGAGTACAAGGGCTATCGGATCCCCAAGGGCTCGGTAGTAATCGGGAACACCTGGTTCGCTCGTCTTTCCTTTAGATCTCAATGAGGTCTGATTCAGAATCCAGGGCGATTTTACATGACGAGGTTCGAATGGACTCGCACACTCTAATCTCTCCGGCTCATGATCGAAAACAGGAGATGTACTCAGACCCAGATACATTCAAGCCTGAGCGATTCTTACTGAACGGCAAACTCAACAAAGACATCCGCGACCCCGAGGCGTTCATCTACGGCTACGGTAGAAGGCATGGGTTCCCTCTACTCAGATGGCATACCACTCAGCCTGTATGAATAACGCAGAATTTGCCCGGGCCGATACATGGCTTCCAACTCGCTATGGCTTACCATCGGATCCCTGCTGTCTATGTTTGACTTTGTCAAGACGGAGGGAACGCAGGACGAAGGTCAGTATGGGTGGTTCTGGGGCCTCATCTCGTGCGTACGCTTCCAACAGGAGGCTGTTTTGGAAAGACTGAGCGTTTGGCAGAACCCCGCTGCCGTTCAAGTGCACAATGCGGCCCCGCTCAGATCAGACCGTTGCTGCGATACGCGCGACAGAGATTTAGCGCTTTGCAAGTGAAGTAGTAAGGTCGTTCAATAGTAGCGTAGGTCGTTGCAACGAAGTAAGTACAAACAAATCATCACCTTGGTGAAACCCGAAACTGGGAATGTTATTACTGATCAGGTTAGCGCCGGGGCTGGAAAAGTTTGCCAGGATCGAGGACAAAACGTGGGAGGGAGGCTTGAAATATGTATACTGAAAAATGTTCAGCATAAGGTGTAATATCTAGATGAAAAGTGAGCATCAAATCAAATCACAACTCTTATCGTGTTTTTGGGTGACTGCGGGAACTTTTGGGATGCATGTTCCATGTACTGTATCTGTTATCGGTGTCCTGAAGATAGGGAATAGGTCCTTAGTAAATACAATCCTACTCTATCCGAATGTCCACTTGACTTCCGTTGCAGCACGTAACTCCTCACAGTGCAGACTCGCCATGCTACGAGCCCTTCCCCTTGTTCCACCCGCCCATCTTCGCACTGCCAGCAAACGACGACGTAGAACGCGAGAACTCTGCCGACGCCGCATACGGCGCTCTCGGATCCGGGGCCGACAGACTCCGATGGGGCGAGGGCGGTTGGGACGGGTGGTAGTCCGACTGGTCCTCAGCATCCGCCGCCGTGTCGATCACGCCCAGCGAGTCCGCTCTGCCCAGGTTGTTGCTCGTCAAAGGGCGCTGCAGCACCAGGCCTTGACTCTCGGCCCAGGCCGCCGGAGACGGCGCGAGGCCCAGCAGATCCTCGTCCAGCACCCGGCCGTAGGTCTTCCAGCACCCAGAACACGGCTTGGACGGCCTGAAACCCTTGTAGCCGGTGTTGCAGCCTGGTCGAGATGGATTAGCCCCGGAGCGCAACGTATGCCTAGCGCCGGGCGACGCACATTTGGGACAGGTGTGGTCCGCGGGGTAGAACAGCACCTTCTTCTTGTACATCAGCGGATGCCCATGCTGCGGCCGCGCCGTGGGCTCGAGCGCGGGATCGGCACCGTCCGTTGTGTCGGTGACAATCAGAGCAAAGTTCTCAGGGAGGGGCCGCTGAACCGATGATTCTGCGTTCGGCGTGTCGGATGGGCTCGCCAAAGCGGACGCGGACGCCAAGTCGAACGCAGCCAAGAGGGGCCCAGCGTACGTGTGTCCGTACTGCCGCCAGCATTTCGCACAGGGCCGCGCGGGGTCGAACCGCTGGTAGCCCGTGTTGTAGCCTGAGAACGGAGATGAGAAGGACGAGCGCTGAAACGAGAACACCACCGAGAGCGGGGGATGCACGCACACTTTTTGCACCGCACGCCGGCGGGGTAGAACAGGACCTGCCCCTTGTGCAGCAGTGGATGCCCCGCCTGCGGGGTCGTAGTCGGTCGCGCAGTCGCTGGCGCAGGCGCAGTCGACGACGACGACGAGGCCAGCGTGAGACTCGAGTCCATTGGGCGCAGCCACTGCGCATGCCCGACGCCGGGTGCCAAAGGAGGTGGTGTTGGCCCCCGTATGACTCCCGCCTTGTCATCTTCATCTTCATCGTCATCCGCACTTGCAGGAGGTGGCGGGGATACAAAGCTGGAGGGCACAGGCGCGTTGGGGATCCCGCTCGTACTTGCAGCGGGGAGTAAGGTGTACGGCGGAGGTGTGTCGTCATGTTCCAGCTCCGCGTCGTCGAGTCGGCGAGTCTTCTCCCCGAGTTCGTCTTTGGGAATGATCATACTGTGTGGTGGTGGGATGGGCGGAAAGAAGGGCTTGCCCATGTACATAATAGATGGATGAATGGCAAAACCATCCGCGGGCAGTGCTCACAGCATGCCTTATTAATGTTCATCCAATCCCTTTTAGAGGCAACTTCTCCGTTTCTTGCTGGGCTTGAAACAAGGATCTGGATCATGACTGCGCAATCATGACGTGGGTCCGTTGCTTGGGTGGGTATCACTGTCCTTCCGCCCACAGCCGGAGACGGAGTGAGGCATGGGAGCTGAGGAAGGCGGAGATATGCATTTCGGTGTTCTCATGATCAGGTGCAGAGCAGATTCAAGTTGGCAATGAGTGAAGGTCTTCAATTCGGCTTCACGTGATTGGCTAACAAGTTCTATACTGGCAATCCGTGCAAAGTGAGCTTTGTTACATATGGGTGTGCATACAATGAAACGGTGTACATCTGAATACATCTACAACTAGTACGCGACGAAGATGGCGCATGAACGAGTCAGTTCACATGTGGAATCGAAGACTTGGGTACAACAAGCGTCCATCTGTGACTAGGACCGCAGTTTGGCCATCAGACATACTGTGCGGAGCGAGAAAACTTGGCATCCTCCCAGCCTGCGGCGGGCGCACTCAGTCGACGGGAAGTTGCCGGCGCCGCGAGGAAGGCAGACGATGCCGAAGGCCCTGGCGTGGAAGGCGAGGAGGCGTCGGCCACAGGATATCCCATTGCGCTGTTGCTCGACAACGGCCGCTGCAAGACCAAGCCCTGGGCGGCCCAGAATGATGCAGAGTGCTCGAGCTCGGTGCCCCGCCCAAATGCCTTCCAGCACCGGGAGCACGGCTTCGAGGGATCGAAGCGCTTGAAGCCGGTGTTGAAGCCTGCGTGGTAAGAATGTCAGCAGAGTAAATGGAGGAGTCTCGTGAAAACACGTACACTTGTCGCATGTATAACCCGACGGATACCACAGGACCTTGTTCTTATGCATCAGCGGATGCCCGTGCTGAGGCATTGCGGTCGGCTCTAACGCAGGATCTCCGCCCGCTCCACCTTCACCTGCGGAGGCACTCAAGCCGAAGTTGGTCGGCAGTGGCCGTTGGATGGAAGAAGAGGACGATGAGGGATCCGCATGTGTATCGAACGCTCCTGTAGACGCGAGGAGGAGCGGGCCGCTATACGGCCGACCGTAGTTGCGCCAGCATCGGCTGCATGGCCGCGATGGGTCAAAGCGCTGGTACCCAGTGTTGTAACCTGAGCGAGAGGGGCGAGTGAGTGGCAATGAAAAGAGCAGCAGAAGCAAGGAATACCCACACTTCTTGCACTGCACCCCAGCAGGATAGAACAAGATTTGCCCTTTGTGAAGTAGCGGGTGTCCCGCCTGAGGCGTCGTCGTCGGTCTGGGAAGGCCAGAATCTATCGGTGCAGACGACGACGTAGATGAAGTCAATGGTGTGCGCGAAGTCGACGCTTGCGCAGAACTCGGCCCTGGCCCAGAGCCCAGCGTCATCGCCTCGAACTGCAACCCGACACTCTCCCCCGTCCCCGCCGCATAAAACTCCTGCGCGAAATCCGAGTGGGCAGCTTGCGGCATGCGGGAAGGAAGAGTGGCAAAATCCTGCGCCGACCGGGCGGGGAGCGGCGGTAGTGGTGCTTCGCGCGCGCGTTGCGAAGGATGCCGTGGCGGGGGCGTACGCATCGTTGCGGAACCAGCCAAGGCACGTCGAGGTATGGCATGCCTCGGTGCGGGTGTAGATGCAGGGACGGAGTGCCGGCGTTCCCTCCTCGCGCTGTCCCATCCTCTGCTCCGATCCACCGTCCCTCGTCCTCGTCCTCTCCCTCGCCCGGCGCCCAAACTCGTGCCAATGCCTCTTGCGAGCGTCTGCGCGCCCCTCGATCGCTCGAGCCACGCACGCATCCCACCCCCGGCCCGCTCCTGCTGTTCCTGTTGCTGCGCATTCTGGAACGGGCGAGTGGGGCCGTACGACAGCGTCTGCTCCCCGCCGGGGGTCGGGAGAGGTGTGTATGGGGGCGGAAGATCCTCAGAGTCGAGTATCATCTCTGGTTGTGGTCTCTGTGAGACGGGGATGGGGTTCTAAGTAGGAAGATGTGTGCCACTCGGTTGAGGCGATGCTCGCTGCGGAGCTTGGAAGATGGGGACTGTCACGCGTGCGACTCTGACCGCAGTACCACTGCCAATGCGCAGTGATCCTGTCGCACATGGGGCCTCATAGGAAGCCAGGAACTGAGTGGTACCAGTCGAATCTGTGATTCGAAATACCGGTGCTGCGCGAGTTCAGGTACCTCTGCCTTCCCCGATGAAGTTATTTCTGAGAAGCACGACTAGACGAAAGAGGTCGACCAGAAGGAGAAGGACGATTGTCGTCTCAATGGAGTCCCCAGAAGTTTTGAGGTTCACAAAGGTCTCATTCTCTGCGCTTCTTCATTCATGCCCAGCCTCGGGAGCGGACATAATGAAGTATTACCGTTCTCGATCCCTTCGAGTCGTGACTAACGATGATAATCCGTATAGAAGTGTCCCATATATATATCCTCGAAAATGGTGCTTTCTCCCGACCTTCCGTCTTCAAAGCTCGAATGGAGAGATAGTGACGACAGTCTTTATGGTAGCTTCTCCAGATAAGATTATCTGATTATGTGCACAGCCACAGCTCCGACCAACAGGAGCACACAACACTCTTCTTCTCGACCGCACCAGGCGCAAATCACCCCCGTTCTTCGAGTGTATTCTTGTTGCCATCCTCAGCACTTTGTCTCATGATCGATCTCCCGGCCGAACTATGGACTCAGATATTCGACCTTGCCGCCGACGAAGATGTGCTTTTCGCACCGGGTCTGCCCGGCGTATCGCCCATGGCTGAGTCGGCGTGGTTCAAGAACTTTCACGGTGCCTGGTCCCTCCGCACGCCCGGGGATGCCGTCGAGATGGTCCAGCGGCGGAGTTACGCGACGAAGAAGGCGATCGTGCGGACATGCAAGCGGTGGCGGGAGATTGGGTCAGAGTTTCTCTTTCGGTGTCTGTTCTTCAGCGATCCCGGGCGGCTCGTTGCACTTGCCAACCTCCTCGACGCGTCTGCTGCCACTTCTTCCACGGCCGCCACGTCCACGGACCCTGCAGGGTCATCGGCCAACGCAGCTGCGCCGCCCCTCGGATGGTGGACGCGCCGGATCCACGTCACGCGGTTCTACGCCTCGCACGCCCGCGGGACGACACCGATTCTACTCCAGGACGCGCTCATTCGCGTCATCCGACACTGCCCGAACCTCCAGATCTTTATCGTCAACTGGCCGCTGACCGCCAGCACCTTCGGGCCGGTGGCCGATGCGTTGGCAGTCCATGCGCGGGGAAGCCTGTCGACTCTTGCGGTGACCGTCCCCGCTGGGGCACTGGGGAAGGTGATCTGGGCTTTGGAAGGGCTTAGACGCGTCGGGGCGGTGCATATCGAGCTAGAGTATGACGGGCAGGCGGAGGAGAGGGGATTTCTGGCCTCTAGTGCTCAGGAGGAGGACTACGAGCGTGCGAGCGTTGTATCGGACGACCCCGCACTTGGCGCAGCGGGTGACATCCGTCTCACGCTACCCAATTTGCAGCAGCTGTCGCTTAAAGGCCACATCCAGCAATTCGTCGAGCAAGCCAGTGGCTGGGACTTGCCTGTGCTTCGCCACCTGTCGGTTGATTGTCCCCGGACTACCGACTTGCCGGACGTCGTTTGCTTCCTCACTGCGCACGGACCGAGTGTCATTCACCTCGACCTCGAAGCTCTACCAAGCCTCCCGGTGCAGCAGATCCTGGCACGATGCCCCGAGCTGCGCACCATGACATTCAACGGAGACTGGCGTATTGTTGGTGCCGAGGACGACTCATCTTCGTCGGGGCCTTCCCCTCCGCTCGCGCACGACAAGCTCATGAACGTCGGGCTGAGCGGGCTATCGTACGCGTTTGGAGTTGGTTTCGGAGCTGCAGACGGCGTGTCTGCACTGGTTGCTACGTCCGTCAACGATCGCACGATCCAGGCGCTGTGTGACAAGACGGCGTTTCCCTCGTTACACCGCTTGCGTGTTTTGAGCCGCGGTCTGCTGATGGATCTCGAGAAGGCAGATGGGCCTAGCACGGAGGGAGGAGGGATGAGCCGATGGGAAAGATGGTGGTCGATGACTGCCGGTGCCGGCGTCCGGTTGGAGGATTGCACGGGCGCTCTACTGGGTGAGCTGCCTCAAGACCTGGATGACGGCGATTTCAGCGACGATGATGACAGCGACGAGGAGGATGACGAAGACGAAGCTGAGGTCGAGGAGCAGCTGCTTCAAGACGGCTGGAAACACGCGCCGACGTCCAATACAGCGGGTAGCCTGAACGAGCTGCGCAAACTGCTTGAGGAGTGCCGGGCGATGGACCGCGGTCGGGACGATAACTATCTACATCGCAGTGCGGCCGGGGCAATGATGATTCCTGGCTTTTCCGCAGATGATACTGGATCTTAGGCTCGTTATCTATCCCGTCCGATCATATTCACTCACGTACACTGCTCTCTATACATATCGCTTGCTTTCCGCGTTTCGTTCCCTTGGTATCTCGTACAGCGCCGATAATCCGTATGTCTCCGGTCGGCGACATAGCACTCATGCGTGGTATCTCCAAGAGGCTGAGCACCACAAGATCGGGCAGCTTGGCTAAGCTCAATCTTGAATCGTCGCAGGAACCCGATCGCGTGCCCCCATTACATTATTGTGCGCCATTTACGTTCTCGCTGTTCCTAGCAAACAAAACGTGGGGATCTCTAATCGACCGAGTCGTACAGACTAAGGTCTATGAAAGCTAAAAAACACAACTATCTTGCGGCACAAACGCATAGTTACTGTTATGCATTCTGCTGCCCTCAACCTAGACTGCGGCCCTGTGCTGAATCGCCAGGGACGTGTACCGCTGTCCCGAGAACGGAAACCGTCGTGTGAGCACAGCAGACGTGTCTGAAACCGTTAGACTGACATAGGCCCTCGGGTATGGTGTGAGCGACGATGGCGTACTGCACAATCATCGAGACCGGCAACTCAGTCAACTCCGTTTTACGCTTCTTTTAGGAGATCAAATCCGACACAAGGTTATGATCCCCGTAGTTTGCAGCGTCTGACGCACGGCTGGGCTATGACTCGTCCGCAATAGAGCCTGAATTAGAACGCGAACCCGCTACCTGCGACAGTTGGATCGCTGGAGCTGCTTGTGCTACGGCGTCTGACGTGGACGTTGAAAGAAAATTTCATTCTCTCCGCTCCAGAATATACTCGCGTGCCCGATACCGATCCCGGTTTCAACTAGTGAAGTCGCGGAAGCGTATCTCCGTGCAACGAAACATATTTTCACTTCCAGGAGACAAGGAAATCATTTCAACATACAACCTAGTCCTAATCTGCATTTATAACTTGTAATGGAGGCTAACGACCGGATAATTAGTGGCAGCAGCACAGGGCTGACAGGTAATCGACGCGTAAGAGTGTCACGAAAAAAACGAGTAATATAAAGTCAGCGGATGCCAGTGAGATGTAAGCCCCACCAAAGAACTCCTGCCACAGCGATGCCCTCTCCTTCGATCGTACGTCAGCCCTGTTTCCGCTTGGACGTGATCGGCACATTGACTTGTCGCAGCCGACACAGACTGATATCCTGGTCATCGGCGGTGGCCCCGCTGGCTCTTACGCTGCCAGCGCTCTAGCCAGAGGTGTGTGGGTCGCCTGAAGACTCGACGATGGAGCTGAAGGATTCGTCTCCAGAGGGCTTCAGCGTGACACTTCTTGAGAAAGATTTCTTCCCGCGGTATCACATCGGCGAAAGTATGCTTCCCTCTTGTCGGCCCTTCCTCCGCTTCATCGGGGCTGAAGAGAAGCTCGTGAAGCATGGCTTCACGGTGAAGGTGAGGGGGATGTTATAGACTTACACGTCAAGTCGCTGAGCCACAATCCAAGGTCGGGGCGGCTGTTAAACTGAATCAGCACAAGCGCGAAGGATGTAGGTTGAGTCACCGGCTGCTTCGACTGTGCTTGACATTCCCGATCCAGACACGGACTTCATCACTCCAGACCCAGAAAAAGCGGCTTTCAATGTTGTCAGTGGGCTCGCTGACATTCGCACGCAAAACTTACGCAACGACCTAGATCCGCTCGGAATTCGACGAGCTTCTCCTCCGTCACGCGGCCTCCTCTGGTGCCAGGATCTTCGAGGGCGTATCCGTCTCCTCGATCGGATTTGCGGCAAACCAACCGGTGTCAGCGGAGTGGACGCGGAGAGACTCCTCGCAGCTGCACACCGAGAGCCGGGGAACGATCAAGTTTACCTGGCTTGTAGACGCCTCGGGCCGTAACGGAATTATGTCCACGCGGTATCTGAGGAACCGCAAGTTCAACCAAGCGCTGAGAAACGTTGCGTTCTGGGGCTACTGGACCGGTGCGGGCGTCTACCAGCCTGGGACAAGGCGTGAAAATGCGCCCTGGTTTGAAGCTTTGACAGGTACGATTTAGGTGCTGATATTGAGATGTACGTTGACCCTCATTTTGTGTAGACGAATCGGGCTGGGCGTGGTTCATTCCCCTCCATAACGGAACTGTGTCGGTTGGTGTCGTCATGAATGAGGAAGCGAGCCGTGCGCGCAAAACCGCGCCCACATCTGTCAAGGAGCACTATCTCGCTCAGCTTCCATTGGCGCCCGGTCTAGTTCGGCTGCTGGGCAAAGCACAACTGGCCAGCGAGATCAAGTCCGCTGGAGACTACAGCTATGCCGCTTCTGCGTATGCCGGCCCGCATTTCCGCATTGCTGGCGATGCTGGAGCGTTTGTGAGTCGGCCATGATCCCTGGGAAGACAATAAACGACTCTTACTTGATCAACAGATCGACCCATTCTTCTCTTCTGGGGTCCACCTCGCGTTTACCAATGCCCTTTCGGCTGCGGCGACCATCGCAGCTTCAATACGCGGTGAGTGTTCCGAGAGTGAAGCGGCGCGGTTCCATAACGAGAAGACCGGAACGTCCTATACGCGGTCAGTGCACCATGAATTTCTAAATCACAGCCATACCATGCTCAGTTGCTCCCAGATTTCTGCTTGTGGTCCTAAGCATCTACAAGCAGATCAACGCGCAAGCAGCTCCGGTGCTCTCTGACATCGAAGAGGACAATTTTGACAGAGCGTTTGACTTCCTACGACCCGGTGAGACATCATCATAGCCTCAAGAAAAGGAGGGACACACACTGACTAGATCCCTGAACAGTCATCCAAGGCACCGCCGACTCGGCTCACAGCGCGACCGAGCTCACAGAAACTACAATCCAGCGCACCATGGACTTTTGCTCGCATGCACTGGGCCCCACGACCCCCGAAATGGCGGCTTCCGTCTCGCAGCGGGTTCCGCACGCGCTCCTCGCGCCGGACGGCCCGCTGCTCGCGACCCAGGACGTCGTGCAGCTCGCGGACGGCGACGACGAGGCGAAGCACGTGCTGTGGCGCGTCAACGCACGCAAGGCGGTCGATGGGATATACGACTGGGAGCGCAACTTCCGGAGCGAGAAGCTGGGCGGGTGGGTCGTCAGGCTGGAAACGGGCAGGCTGGGGTTGGTGAGACAAGGGTAGTGTCGTCATCGCCGAATCAGCATTAGACAGAGCGAACAAAATCACATGCCCGCTTTCAGCTCCCGCGTTGGATTTAGGCACGCACCCCGTGGCAGATGCTGGAATGAGGGTGTAATCTGTGGCAACCGGCATACGGCGGGCCGGCGCATCATCTGCGTCCTCATTCGGAAAGACAGATAGGTCGTGGGAGCAAACCCATGCAAGATCTGGATCTGCAGACTCGATCGACCCTGGTCGATCCAATTTCCGACGGGTCTAGATCTCAGAGATGTCTCCAGTTCAGGCATGGGTCTCATTCGATGTTCTGAATGTTGAGCCACCTGGTGAGGAGAGGCTGAGATCGAAGATGGACTTGCTTACGCTTGCCTTGCGCTCCAGGATACTAACATCTCGGAACCGGCTCTTGCCATGCTGACCGGGAGTGCTCTGTTTTACTCAAAGAATCTGTCCGACCGGTTTTTTGGGTTTGGCTGTCCTCCTCTGTCCCATCTGGTCCCTGTTGCGGCCTATCAGCTGATGTGCGTCGACGTCATGGAAAGAACGTGGTATTGTTGTGCAACAAAAACGGCTCTTCCAATACATTAGCTGGTCAATTTGGCATGTAGTCGACGGTAGGAATGCATCATCCACCCCTAGAACGAAGTGTCTGCACGCCTGGCAGAATGACCCAAGCAGCCCATCCATTTTTGGTCCGAACGTGACCCAGTCGATTCCTCCGATGGTAGCGCCAAGGGTCGCATTCGACTGCCACTTCCACGCGTCGCACGATAGACGAGCCGGAACTTCCTCGCTGACCAATCCCGCCTTCTACGGACAGTATTAATGCAAATCACAGTGCTTGAAGACATCAGTGCGTACCATCGGAGTCGAACGTCAAGCTACGTGCCTTCAGACTTCGGATTTGTCGGCCGATTGCGTGTAAAGCCAGACAGCGAGAATTTCCACTCGTTTCGGGAATGACACGCCCGAAGTCACGAAGTTGCGCTGAGTCCTCATCCTGCACCCAAGCTCGCACAAATAAGACAGCTGTAATTCCTCGGCCAGACATGACTAAGCATGTCATTCGATCTGATCCCTTTCCCAACATCAAGTTCAATTGACAAGGCCGTTGTCAGTCTTGTGGGTCCTCGGATGAGGTGGTCAGGCACGGAGCCGAAGTGAAGGATGCTGTGCAGTAGGATCGGACCCGGGCGGGGTCGGCAAATATCGAACATGAAATAGCGGAAGCGAAAATAAAACCATTGGAGAGATCGAAGCGAAGATCTTCGTGCTGCGGTATACTTTGTGTCCGGTACTGAGCAGACGTGTAGCGATAAGCAACAGAGTCATTTCTGTCTCTCTTTCAGAGGCATAATGTCCCTCGCTGTCCCCAAAACCCTTTATCCGTGAGACTCGAATCCTCGTCTTATTACTTCACACTCTTCATTCTTTTCGGAGTTTTTTGCGGATATCGGTTCCTCAGAGATGTGCAGTCGACCATATTCAAGTCACAAGGACATCAGATATTTGGCAATCAAAATAAGTAGCAGCACATATTTAGATACTTTATTTACCATGTCCGCTGGGCTTACTGTGTGCTGTACAACGCAAGAACGTAATCCAACACCAGCCCGCTCCATATAATCCACCCGAGATGCCCATTTCGGGTGAAGTTCACTAAATGAAATTCATTGGTAAGTCAGAGCATCTCGCCAAAAGCATCGCACATACGCCAGCAACTTTTCGGGACGCCCAGATCGACCGTCGAGTACTGCCACAGCAGATGCACACACGTGCCGCCGACGGAGACGAGGAAGAACATCGGTCCTTGAGAGTTGAGAACGCCCGCGCAGGCAAGCATGACGACGAAGAGCACGCCGCACGAGACGAGCAGGGGGCGGATCCAGGTCCCGAACAGGAGCGCGGTGGAGCGGACGCCGACCTTCACATCGTCTTTGAGGTCTTGGCAGGCGTAGACTGTATCTGGGAGAATGCGTTGCTCTTTAGAGACGGATTAGGGTATGCTATGTGAGGGAAGATACCGTAGAGCATAGTCCAGCTAGGAATACCGTCAGATTCGTCGATTGGAGTTTACTTGACGAAGGAAACTTACAACCAACAGCTAGCCATAGCCGCCGGAAGGACGCTTAGGTCCGCACTTTGGGTTACCGAGATCCACGCAGTGACGAACCCAAAGTTCATCGCGAATCCGAGCCATGCTTGCGGCCAATGAGTGATGCGTTTCAATAACGGGTAGACAGCGAATCTGGATCGGTGGAGAACGATTAGCCAGACAGACAACTTGCGAGGGGAGTTCTTACAGTGGGATGAGTTGAAACAGGGCAATCCAGAAACTGTGTGCGGCATTTTTCTTCAGCAGTGAAAGTGAGGGAAGAAAGATCCAAAGACGTACGCAAGTCCCGTCTCGGTGTACCAGAAGAAAGCACAGCCCAGCCCATACTGCACAAACAGATAAACGGTCGCTGCTGAAGGTGAGATCGCCCCGCTAGGCAACGGTCGATTTCTTGTTCGTTCTAGCATGGCATCCTCGTCAGCGTGCGGAGAGATTCGAGGGGTGGAGAGAACACGGACCGACACCGGCGTCCATGTCACGGTCGAGAATGTCGTTCACCGTGCAGGCCGAACTGCGCAGGAGGAAGGCGCCGACGAGCGCTCTTCCCAGGCCGTGGAGGAAATCTGTAAGGGGGAGGCCGGTGCGATATGCCGCCATCGTCAAACCCCAGGCTGGAAATGCGTGAGTTCCATGCACAGCTGGTACAGATGATCCATGACCGCACCGAATGGCCAGAACATGAGTATAGTCCCCGTTGGCTGCCGTTTGAGGACCGATCAGCCGCAGCTCATCACCACAGGGAAATGAAAAGTGCACCTTTTCAAATCTGATGAGCTCGAGATAGGGCCGCACGACAGATGACGTAGTGCGAGGCTTTTTGAATTCATGATGAGAGAGGAGGATCGCTGTCTCATCATTTTCGGCGATTGGGAGCAGTGAGGTGGGGTTGGCAGAGCTCATGGTGCTGATCGATGAGGGCAGTGGAGTGTACAGGGATGGGGAAGGAGGGGGGGCGGGTGCTTAAATAAGTATCTCGTCCTCCGATGAAATAGGCCGCGCACGAGAATTCAGCGTCGAGAAACAACAGGAAAGTCTTCATCAAAAGTAAGAGCGGGCGCGCTAAACCTAGGATCCAATGTTGTTAGTCGCACAATGCACTCCGTTTTCAGGGTGAATTTCTCCGCCGCACAAGGTAACGGACGGGCGACTCAATTGACTGCGTCTAGGTCCATGCATTTGCACATCGTCAAACGGGCAAAGTAAAACGGCACGTACGCGTAATTATGCGGCGGGCAGATCGAGTTAGAGTTGCCTATGCTATGGACGCGAACAATGAGATTAAGTACGGAGTTCGAGTCCTGGAAACACGGACTGTCGTCGGGCTTCTACTTCAAGAGGCGATCCAAGCAGATTGAAAAGCCGGAAACCCCGCCCCCGCGTCTCGAGGAAGCGAGCTGCCGAACAAGACTGAAAATCTGTGGTGGTCCGCACCTGGTGGACGCTACTTACGACCACCCTCGGCTTCCAACTTGAGAACCGGTCGAGTGCCGAGGCCGCCCGAGGCACCATCGGACCAGAGCCAACACGCGTGGAGAGAATCCGCCCCCCTCAAGCTAAGCAGTTCCAGGTGGTATGAAACCTTCGATAAACTCTGCGGATCGACCGCCGAAGGCGAGCGAGAGGGTCCGTCTCTCTGGACGATCCCGGAAAGTTCCTGCGGTCCACTCGGGCCCTACAGATCCTGTGGCACAGGCCCGACACGCACGGGAATCCACTGTGGAAATGTATGGACGGGCTCTTGGCCCAGATTTGATGACACCGGAAGTCATCGAGAGTGGATCGAAGCACGGGCAGGAGGAGGAGGGACATTCGAGAAATGTGATTGCGATAAAGGCAGGTGAGAGAGAGCGTCGCAAGCGGCCAGTCGTACACCCCTTCCCATCGCCGCCCCCATCATCCAGCGGGATCGCTTCGCAAAGTTTCTGTGCCGCCGCGCTGCTACTTCTCCGCTGTTGAAACGTCGCGCAATGTCCGTTAACCATGGTATCCGCCGAACTGCCGGGCCAACTAACCTGTTCTCCACAACCCTGCGACCCACCGGGCACGCAGCCAGGAATCCCTATCATTCTTCCGGAGGCCAGCTCCGTGCCCTGCGGTCACCAGCGCACTTGAAAGGCTCTCTATTCACACCCAGCCGCAAGCTGGCCACAGTGATACCCGCCAGCGAAACGATTTCCATCCTACACCCACTGGTGCACGATCTTGCATTCCTACGTTCTGCGACCTTGGAGCTCCCCTTATGATTTTTTGCCTGATTGATTGATTTCAAAAACAACGCTTGGGCGAGTGAGCAAGAAAAAAGCGAAACAGGGACGAATCATCGAGTTAGCTGGAATGTCACGCTTCGTCACTCCACGAGGATCACTGATCGGGTCAAATATTCATCGACCGGTCATCACGTCGATGCTTCGGATCATTCCCAACTGATCCATTCCAACTGATCCGATGCTGTGCTGCTCCTGTCTATTCTCAGCCCACAGCGCCGGAACTTGGATGGGCGCTGATCTTGTCCTTGGGCGCGAGCGATCTTATTCGGTCCTTCGAGCGCCGGCCGTGATTCCATCACCGCCCATTCAGGGAGCCGAGCAAGGGCGTGGGGTGTGCAGCACACAATCGGACGGCGGATCCAAAACCTGCGGCAACGCGCTGATAGCCATCTACCACGTGCGGTCAGTGAAATGCAGAAATATTCGATGGTCGCACTCGGGTTGTACGAGGCTTCATGAAATTCGGCGCTTTGAAATCTGAGTTGGCCGGTTCTAGGACAAGTCGCAGCATGCCATCTGCACCGACGGAAATGCGGAGTGATGAGTTCAACTACTGGGGTCACGGGACTGGAGGGATCCGCGCTATCTCCCAAGCGCCTTCCGAGCACCCACGGGATGCTTCGGGAGTGATACGCCCGTGATAGACTATGTTAATCCTTTCGCTGACATTTTCTGCCGACGCGCTCATTTCATGTGGCGGTGATCCTGTTGGACTACTTATTGCCTAGCTCCACGTCGAGATATGGGACATCATGGCCCGCCGACGGTCCTCCTCAGCTAGATTTATAGACCCCATGAATGTCGCCGAGGAACCAGCGGACGGTGAGCCCGTGTACTGGAGGTCAAATCGTCTGGAGACAGTCAACCTGCACAGGCCTCCATCTGCTCCACAGCGCCATTGCCGTCGGCGCATCGTTTGATTCTGCCGAACGACAACCCTGCTCCCGCTGCCACCCGCAGACCCGGCAGATCGTCTTCGAGATCATCCTCTCATGGACCAAAAATGTCCTACGCGGCCCGCGGATGCTGTGGATCCACGGAGATGCTGGCTCCGGAAAAACAGCGATCGCTCAGAGCGTGGCCGAATTCTGCGCTGAGTCCGGACAGCTCGGCGCGACGTTCTTTTTCGCGCACGGCATGGGGGACCTAGCGGATGCGAGATTCCTCGTGGCGACGCTCGCCTACAAGCTCGCGCGCTCCAATCCCGCCTTGAGGACGCACATTTCGCGCGCGATTGAACGAACTGCGTCGATCCTCTCGCAGCCGATCCAGGCGCAGGCGATGCATCTCATTGTCGAGCCGTACAAAATGATCAACAGCGGGGAGGAAACAACTCCCAAGGTGGTCGTCATCGATGCCTTGGATGCGTGTGAGCGAGACGACGCCCAGCTGCAGGTGCTCATGCTCATCGCCGAGCTACTCGCTGTCCATCGACTGCCGCTCTGCTTTCTCATAACAAGCCGCTCCAGTACACATCTCGAGGCGGCATTCGATCTGCCCGTCTTCAGAGGTATGGCCAACCGGATTCCGCTGCAATTGTTCAGCTCCGAATCGGACATCCGCACGTTTCTGTGGGCCGGAATCAGCGAGATCACTTCGACGCGCGCCCCCGGCACAATACCCGAGTCCTGGCCGTCGGTCGATGCGGTGAACGTGCTCGTCCGGAAATCAGACCGCCACTTCCTGTACCCGTCGACGGTGCTGCGCTACGTGGCTGATCCCCGGGGAGATCCTGTGCAGCGCTTAGTCGGGGTGGTCATCGCTGCAGCGGACGACGCACCGCGGCCCCCGCTGGACCAGCTGTACCACCACATCCTGTCCGCGGCCCCCGAGTCAGCGAGACACGTGCTCGGCCTACTCTCCGTGCTGCGCGCGTCTTTCTCGCTGGCAGAGCTCCAGATTTTGCTCGGCTTGGAGATCCCGCACAACGGGGGTTTGGACGGGCTGTCGGCGTTCATCGAGTGCCCGGGCGCGGCCGGCGCGAGTCGCGTCCGCATCCTGCAGCAGGCGGCCGTCGAGTTCTTGCACGACCGCCGGCGCTCGCAGCCCTTCTGGACCGACCCGCGGGTGTACCACGCGCGAGTCGCTGCAGGTTGCATCAGGTTCATCACACGCAATCTCGATGAGTGTGCACCGGTCGATCTGTGCGCATTCTGATGTTGTATAGCTCTGAAGCTGGCGACTGACACATCGAGCAGCACGACGTATCAGTACATCCGACGCCGATGGACCGAGCATCTATCCAATTCGGTCCCCACGGCAGAGTTGTTAGGCGCGCTGGGCGACGCGCGATTCGCCTATTCTCGGGTCCTGTCCGAAGTGCGCGCTGTCGTGTCCTGGCTGGACGTAAGTCAAGCATGCATGTTCACACCGCGCTGCCACTCAATATTCAGCTTAGGTCGACCCTGAAATCGCTCCTGAGTTGCTCTCTCTCTGGCGCGCGTGGCAAACAGACTTGCGGCGCGGATTTACGTGAAAGTGATGAGCGGAAGAGGCCAAAATCGTACAAGGCGATTCGAATCAAACCATCAGCCCCTATCGGTGTATGTAGTACTAGTGGTAGTACACTTGCAGGACATGTCTCGTTCCCGCTGCAAATGCGACACCGTAATCCGCTCCATCGAGGACACGATATGCCTCGATTTCTCATTCAAGCTGACGCAGGCGCTCACATCGAATACCCTGGTCTCGCACTTGTCGAATAGCGTGGTTGGCATCGGGACCATGAACGCTAAAAGCCGCGCGACGCGCGGTCCAGAGGTACATCCTGGCTCTCTATTCCACACCGAGTCAGCGACGATTCCCCAGGTCGCCGGATCCTCAGACGGTGGAGCGCGGTTCAACGTCGTCCCGTGGTAGCTCACGGCGAATTTGGACGCAGGTGAGCTTCGGTAGTGCGCTGGGGCACAGACGATGGGCGCGCTGGTGCACAGGATTGCGCCCACGTTGAGCGTCGGCCTAGCGAGGGGAATGTGATCCCATTTGTCCGGGTCGCGCAGTCGGATACACAGAGCGAGCCCGGTGACCATGAGGTAGCTTGTGGGCTGCGTCAGGAGCCGTCTACATCAAGTAAGTCTAAAAGATCGTAAAACGTACTTGTCTGAATTGTCCCAAAACTCGAAGTGCGGTCCAGAGTGGTACTGGATGGACAGAGTGTACTCTTCCGGGTCGAGCTCGTAGCACCCGTTCGGCAGCAGCCGCGCACCGGAGACGTTACCTCGGATGCGGTGGCTCGAAAATTGAGGGGGCACTTCTGGACTTTTGGGGAAGGAAACACAATCCGTTGTAGATCTTTCATCCTTACACTCCTTCTTTGAAGACTGCCTCGTAATTTTCACACCACGCAATGTCGCATCCGAGTCAGTCCGCTGCCTCACCACACATGCCCCATCCTCATCCTCCCGCTCCTCCGTTGGCGGTTTTGTCGTCGTCCTCTTCTTCGTGGCACGGAGCACGGTCGTATCACCGGCAGAAGGTCTGCGCATGATATACTCCGCCACATCCCCGAGCTGCTCCGTCGTCTTGTTCTCATCGTTCATGAAGTTCGTGCGTGTCATCGTCATCGGCTGCTTCGCGCCCTTCCCCAAGCCCAGCCGCGTCAGCGGGGTCTGCCAAGGACCGTGATTCTTAGACTTCGTGGAAGGAGCGTGTGGCGAGGGAGGGCTGAAGCAGTCGGTCATCGTCGGCGAGCGTGTCGGTCGTGCGTGGCGGGTGGGAGCCATCAGAGAGTGGGAGTGGGAGCCGTAGTGGTAGTGGTAATAGCCTTCTTTAAAACAGTTCTGTCCTTTTGTACCCACCGCCACGGCAATCAAGAACAAAGGCCTGACGGGCGCTACAGTGGCACAACGGGAACAAAAGTGAGAACAAGGAAGAAGACAAACGAATGATTTGATCATCAGTATTTGATCGCCTTTCTGTGTGGGATGTGATGGTGAGTCAGCGTGATTCCGAGTGATCTGTAATACAAGGGTATCGACAACCGGTCACCAGACAGGAGGATAACGCTATGGCACAGCTCGAGCTTCCAAGTCTTTGACCAGAGCCTATGTCCGGATTCAGGTTGCAGGGTGGAATGCATGGGAAACGGCGCGCTGACCTCCAGGGCGAACAGGTGACTGTCTCTCGACTCCGGGGCCAGCTCCCGGACAGCTGTGGCCAAGTTGAAGAGATATTCCTACGTGTCAAGGACAAGTGGGGACACATGAGCGAAGAACACGGAAATTACGGGACCCATCACCTTGTTTGGGCCAGAGGGTCCAGCAGAGACGTGGATTCGCTCCGCGAGTGCCGAAAGAGGCTCAGCAGATCCGACTGCGTCCGCTGTCAGCTGGCAAAGGCAAAGAAAACAAGCAAACTCAGCTGCTCACTGAACGAAGGATTGTCTCGGCGCCCGACATAGCACTCACACCTCAACATGAGTTTCCATAATCACAAATTGGGCGCGGCAGGGAACGTACATAGGCCTAAAGGAGAACGTCATCAGATCGAGAGATATGCTTGGACGGATGCATGGATCTGCGCGCACCTTGGGAATTACCACTGCATCCACTCCGTTGACGACCCCGTAGATTGGTATAGTCTCCATCGTGTATCCATCCTGCCTACTGGGTCGGCGCTGGTCCTCCAATCGACTCGAGAAGAGCGCGAACCTTCTCACGGTAATCTAGCAGACAGAAACGGTCAGAGAAGAAATGCACAGCAGCAGCACCAGGAGCTCTTACCGAGATATGCGCGAACTTCATCTACGTGTTCTGGATCAATCGTGTACGCAACGCCTGACGCCAACGTTCATACGACGAATTGCGCGATAGAGTAGTCACCCCACCCCATACGATGTCCTCGTCAGGGAACGGATCCTGACGAAACCATAGGAAAGGCAGACACCAGAAGGAGCGTATACCACTCACGGCTTGAGAGAACAGATCCCAGTCCTCCTTGTGGACCAGTGTCACGACCCGCCCAGGGTTCTAGTGCCGGATGAGCATCGCAGTAACAGTGTCAAAAACAGCTCGAAGACAAACTTCGGGAGTGCCCCGATGGTCGTGCGACTCCTGTGCAAACCGGCGCACGTATCCTTTGAGGAATCCCGGCTCTAGATCCCCTCAGCAGCCGCCTTGAAGGTAATCTGAGCCCAAGCAGACCTCTGCTTACGGCATGCGGCGGAGGCTGAGCAGCAGCGTTTTCAGGCCAAGTTCTCGTGTGGACGGCGGATCTTACAGACCTTGAATATGAGCGATCCATACCCGAAGACAATGAACGGTGCGGAGGCCATGACTGGAAAAAAACGGAGAGGCTTCGGCGATTTCCGGGAGATATGATCGAGGTGCCGGATCCGGATTACGCCTGACTGGGGTAGAGTTCGGGCCGCCACTGATTCTGGCGAGCGAAGACGTGGTGACTCTTCGCCGTCTGAGTAGCCGAAACTTTCATTTCTCGCGCTCTCGGGGGCTCGCATTACTGCATTGGGCGTGATCTCGCAGCCTGCTGACGGAAGCGCGCGCACTCCGATGTCACGGCACGTTGTGTGACCGTACGCGAGCGACGTTTGATCAGCACGTGTGCGCCGTTTTCTTCGTCCGTCTTCTTTCTTCGGCGCAAGGAGCTCGAGCCTCGTTCAGTGCGAACGTCTGGATGCACAGGTTCTGTGCATCTCACACGTTCCCTACCCTGCCAAGGGCCAAAACAGACATTCGTTTGCATCGACCCTATCACACAACGCCACGAAATTGCCCTCGCCTGATGAGCGAGTGAACGGGCCGTAGAGAAAGTGAGAGAGAGATGACCCGGGGAGACAGACAAACATCCATTCAGAGGTGCAACGAGTTTCAGCCCTTGCAGCCTTTCGGAGACAATAGCAGTGCTCGTTTCTTTCACACCGGGGCGGCGGAAGCAGCCGAAGGCCATCAGGAGCTTATCAGCGGGAGACAGATCGCTGGGCGCGCGCGGGGGTTCTAAGCCCGGGATGGATCAGCTTCGCCCACAACAAGCCGCATGCATCAGACCCCCACAGATGAACCCCAAAATGCCCGTCAGTGACCGTGACCTATTGTCCCTCCTGCCAACTGGGGCGTCTTTTTCCCAGGGTGCGTGCTGTTACGGTTTTGCTGCGCGATTACTCATTTGAGGCTACAGGCTCATATGCGTGCCCAAGCTTGTTTCAGGCAGCCCCATGGATTTGGGGCGTCACTGGAACAAGCGGCGCGTGCGGAAGGACGTCGTACCCTGCCCGCGCCAAAGTGGAAGCCATGCGTGCTATAAGCTCTCCTTTGTGGAAGAGGGCCTCGCGAATCAGGGTTGACAGCGGAGTTTGCAGCGCACCCGATGCGATGCTGAGTTCGAAACCGAGGGACGACAGAGTTGTTGTTTCGATATGGCCCACGGGCCCCGGAAATACATATATAAAGACAGCGAGAGGAACATCCTCGGTTTTCAGTTCGGATTGGCTGGCCTCTCTTCGCGGTCAAGAACGCGTTCCCTATCATATCACGTCTCCCCTCCCCTCCCCTGCCCTTGCCAAGTTCGCCATGGGTCTCGGCATCCGCAACGAAAAGAGCAGCGGCGACCTCGACCTCGACCTCAACCGGTTCCTGCCCCCCGAGCTCTACACGTCACTCAAGCTCGGGGTGTGGCGGCTGGTCATGGAGAAGGACGCGGGCGACGCGTCGAGCCTGCTGCACCTTCCCGGAATCAATAAAATACGTGACGTCATCGCTGCGATCCCCATGCTCGTCCGCTTCTTCCTCGAAATATACGCGCTCTGCCCGCATCTCATGCTCGTTTACATCCTCCTCCGGGTCTGGGGTGGTCTGGAAACCGTGGTCATGCTGTATTCGTCGACGAGAGTCCTGCAGAGCGTACGTAACCCCCCGTCAGATGTGGGGTTGCCGGCTGTTGACCCGCTGCGATGCTCCGATATAGATTGAGCTTGGGCTTAGGACCGGCAAGCCCGACCTGCGAGCCATCGGGACAGCGGTTGCGCTGCGCGTCGCGGGTGTCACTTTGAGCGCCGTAATGAAGTGGGCGAGGTAAGCCGGCGCACAGCACCCCATTTCGGTCCGCGCGGTTCATGAGTTCATCCCTCCATCAGAGATTGCATTCTGCCCGTTCTCAAGTCTAAAGTGGACATCCATTTCGAGGATACTCTGCTCCAAGGTGAGTCACGCCGCTCAGTCGATCGTCCATTGTGTCATTTACACCCGAATAGCTAGTCTGCGCCGAGACCTTCCCACCTCACTTGGTGAGGATCACCCCCCTTCATCTTCCCACAAATCTTGCTCAATACCGTGTGACAGCAAATGAACACAAGGGTGAACCCGATGCGGAGAATGGATGGAGAGCCTACGAGACTTTGCTATACTCGTCGCAGCGGATTCTGCGTCTGGTGATCCAACTGCTCTTCATTTCATCGCAGGAGTGCGGGGGAATCGCCTTCTCAATTGCCATCCTCGCGTCACCCATCGCCAGCTTCCTCACCACCCGCAATCTCGTCCTCAAGCGTAAGCGCGTTTCCCTCTGCCCTGGCTGTTGATTCTTGACGCTGATTGGCATCGTTCGCAGCGCACATCGTGTTCTCCGATAACGAAGATTACATCCGCATGCGCGCGCTCAAGTCGATGGCTGCGCTGCCCTTCCGTGAGCAGATCATCTCTGAGAACCTGGTGGATTGGATATGGGGAGGTGGGTATTCCCGGTATTGCGCCGATCTGCAGCTGCTGATTCGGATGGCTCCGCTGTGCCAGAGTACAAGAAAGCACGAAACATTCTCGGATCTGCGGCCGCAGAGGATGTCTATCACCTGCACGACCGTCGGCCGACCCCCATTGCGAACATCTCCCGTGAATGGGCTGGTGAACTGCCTACTGTGAGTCTTAAAGCCCCCGAGTGTGAAAAACGCCTGCAAGGTTACGGCTACAATGGGACTGAATGGCATTGCAGCTTTTCTGGGCATTCTCCGCGGTCATGCAGCCGCGGAGTGTCTCGATGACTTCGATCGCGATCATGCAGCAGTATGCGACGAGCCTGAGCTACTCCCTCGAGCTGCTCATGTACGATCTGCGGCAAATCGGAAAGGCACTCAGGGACATCGCGGCGTTGTACGAGGCGGCGGACGTCCGGAATGAACTCGTCGACGGCGAGTTGGCGTATCCCGGCGCGGAGCGCCACTCTTCGGAGGGAATGGACGTCGAATTCAGGTGGGGTTGACTCTTCGTTTCATTTCATCTGCTCCTCCCAGGGCCGTTTCTGACCGGTTCCAGGAACGTGACATTTGCCTATGCCGGCACCAAGTCAATCAGACCCGCCCTAGTCGATGTCTCGTTTCGTATCCCGGCGGGCAGTCTAGCGGTCATCGTCGGCACGAACGGAAGCGGCAAGTCCACCGCCGTGAAGCTTCTCACTCGCCTCTTCGATCCTGTCTCCGGCACTATCCTCGTCGACGGAACCCCGGTCCAGAAGTACCGCCTTTCTGATCTGCGAGAAGCACATGCCACCCTGATGCAGACATACCGGATGTACCCGCTCTCGATCGCAGACAACATCGGCCTGGGCCGTGTCGAGACCATGGACGACGAGGACGCGGTGATCGATGCAGCCCGGAACGGGTGCGCCGTGGACGTGCTGAGTAAGTTCAAGCACGGCCTGCACACGACGCTCGAGCCGCCCTCGACATCGCATGGCTATCAGATCAATCATGATTCCCATTCGGGCCTGGGATCATACTTGACGAATTTGGAAAAAACGGTCGATGTCTCTGGTGAGTCCTCTCATTCGCTGATCCTCGCACCACCCAATCAACGCGCGTGCAGGAGGCGAGCGACAGCGACTGGTCGCCTCGCGGATCTTCATGCGACTCCGCTCAGAAAAGATTAAGCTCGTCGCCGTCGACGAGCCGTCCAGCGCCCTGGACGCAAAATGCGAGTACGATCTGTTCAAGCACCTCCGACGCGCTGGACGCGGCAAGACGATCGTCTGTGTAACGCACCGTTTCGGCCATCTGACGAGAAACGCAGATGTCGTGATGTGCGTCCTGCCCCCTTTTTCTCTATTTTTTCTCCTTGTCTCATTGCGATCTCCCTGTAGATGCATGAAGGACGGGCGGGTCGTCGAGACAGGCACGCATGACCAGTTGATGGCGCGTGATGGCGAGTATGCATCTCTCTATCGGGTGCAGGCTCAGGCGTTTGCGGGGACAGAGTCGCCCTCGCCGTAGCCGTATGGCTTATCTGGGTTTATTCTAGCTCTCAGGGATCGTACTTACTGTAAACCAGGACTTGTCGTGTATTTATGTTTAAATAATATTTCTGCCAATTCAATCGATCACAAAGTTTGCACGTTCTAGCTTGATTTTCCTTTGGAACTTTGCATCGGAGTCTAACAGTCTGATCGTACTAGGGGAGGCATCGACCATGGATGCTGTTGCCGCCTTCTGAGAGGGGTGAATGCTATGATGAGATGTTTCTGGAACTCTATGACTGGAATGGATGGGACTGAGTTGATTTCCTATTTGAACTGCTTCTCCCGATGCGCAAGTCGGCGAGCAGACGTCACGGGAGAACATTCACCACTAAATCGGTGATGCGCCCGAGTGTGTGAAACCAACCTGTCTCGGACGAAGCTTCGCCGCAGGCGTGATGCGCCCCATTTGTTTTTGGCACAACATATATTCAGAGTCTGTTTCTGCACTGCGCCGCTAACTACATCTGCGCGATCTACATCTGGATGGCAAGCTTTCACGCCCGAGAATATGCATTGCATCGCGATACAGCCCGAGCCTCCCCAAGCTAGTATGCGAGGGGACTAGACCGGCAACTATTCATAAGACCCCATGGAATGGACTGGGGTACCCCGAGGTTCTCTTCCATCCGACCCTCTTCTGGGCCCGTGAGACTATCTTATCGAGCGATTTGTCGGCTTCTGCAGGTTGACTTCGAGGCTTCGATAGCTTCACGCTTATCGCCTGAGAACCCAGCCTGCCCGACTCCCCGAGGAACTCGGTCTCCAGGGTAATCGAGGCTCAGTGGAGCTCTGTAGCCGCGAAACCATCGAAGGGTCACAGAGGACATGGAGGATCCTATGTCCTCGGATGGCCCACGGCGCCCGTGGTGGTCATTGCTTCATCATCAGGTCATCAGCGGTGAGGTAGACGAACGAACACGATGCGCGCATTCTATTCTTTTGGACCCTGGTAACGAGCTGAGGTCCTGCGCAACCACTGCGATCGATGATAGGGTTGCTCCCCACCCTTCTCTATTGAATTGTTGGAAGCTGTGACAAAGCAGTTGTCATTTTGCCGTATGTCGGCAGTTCGATCTGGAACTCGATGTACTTCTGGATGATGGCTTTGTTCTTCGCCCTTATCTTCCTCACTCTGATGAAGTGCCACATTGCTAGAATTAGCGATATATGTGCTGGATACAGTATGTCGTCGCTGGTGAAATGGGGGTAAGTTCATGGCGGAGCACATCAGTGACCGGGACGCACGGTACGGTATGAATGTTCTATTCCAGCTTTTCCAGAACCTCCAACCGCTCCAACACAACCTCCTTGCTCGTCTCCTCGATCTCGCCCGCTAGGAACACCTCGTCGAGGATCGCGTACACCTGGGCGTCACTGAGCGTGCGATCCGATAGGCGACGGCGGTGCGCGCCTGACGCACCTTGTAGAAGTTGAACACAAGGTCGAGCTCCGTCACGTTGTCGAAGAATGTATCTAAGAAGCCCAGTCAGAATGCTCCAGCCAACAGTCCCCCTTTCCTCCCGTGCGCGCGCGACGCACCCAAGACCTCGACAAAGAAGTGGATCGCCTCCAGGTACGCCAGCTCGTTGTCGTTCGAGTCCACACACACGCAGAAGAACAGCCCGGCGTAGCGCCGGTACACGATCTTGTGATTCCGGAACTAGAATACCGTTATACTGTATGACGGGTACACGTCAGAGGGCGATGGCCCACGCACCTCAGCGAAATTCGACTGGTAGCGGTGATCTCTGCCCGAGACGAGACGGTGCACATCACCCCTCAGCCTGACCTGTGCACGGACCCGAAAGGGCGCTGTCAATCGGCCGGGAGCGGGCTGTGTGCGTGTGGAGCCGCACCTTCTCCTCATCCTCGTACATCCCGTACCATTTCGACAGCCGGGTCTTGCCTTGTCGGTTCTATCCAGACAGCGGTTGAGCAAATGTGCGGGAGTCTGGGAGCGGAGTGAGAGTGCGGACTTGGACGAGGATAAAGCGGATCATGGTGGTGGTCGGTCGTCTTGAGGCCTAGCACGCAGGCTGACAAATCGATCTGATGCGATTTTTCATGTGATCGGTACCGGATATCCGCGCCGCCCGGAGCGGTCTGTTAATTGAGGCGCACGAGGGTCAGTCAAGATTTCGAAAGAGACAGCAGGCTCGTCGAAAGTAGGTCAGTATATCTCTGAGACTATTCTCTTCCCAGATGGAGAATTTTTCTTCGCAGTAGTCGCCAGTGAATGGTATCGATGCAACGCTGAAACCATCACTGATGCCACTTTTCGTTGGTCGGAGCATCCACATCCATGAATAAGGCGGCGGAGTCACACTCTCGAGAAAATTCTGCTAGTAAATGAACGTATCTCCAATTATCCTCCGCTGTCAGCTGTCGACGTGTGGTACACAAAGATCGTACACAAAGATCTGTGGTCCTCTGGCTAGTTTTACGACACGCGGCGGGATCCTGTGAATACCTAGCACATATTATCTCCACTGATCCGCGTTCTGGATGAGACTATGAATGAAGCGGATCGCGTTCATGTGCCCATCGACATGCACTCTCTCGTCGACGGTGTGAATGTTGTAACGCTGGCTCCCGTCGACAGCCTGGAATCGGTATATCGCCCTAGTCAGATTAACGTACGACCTGGTATCAGTCCCTCCAGTCGAAAGGTAGGGGGCGACGACCGAATCGGGGTACAGATGGAGAGCGGTACCGGCGAATACGCTGTGACCGCGAATTAGTGGACGGTGAAATTGACAACTATGAACGCGCACCTCCATGCGTCTCCGCTAGCCGGCGTCACTTGCGAGGCATTGACTCCGGACGGGGCAGAAAACTTGACGTAGCGCGTCAGGTTAGCGGCGGGTTCTTCGTCGAATCCTAGACTAGAATGAGCGGAGGGAGTGGCGATAGAGATGAACACTGACCAACAACGGCGACATCATATTCCTCTGCCACCGGTGTCAGCAGATCGATGTATCGATCCTGAACACTGCCGGCAGCGTCAGTTTGATGATAGACGAGAGCGAAAAAGAGCGAACCCTCGTACAGAGTCACCGCTGGCAACACGATGATTCACAATCACATGTGCCTCTTCTGGCAGTGCATTCACTTTGACGCCTCCGCCGATGATATCAACGGCTTGGGTGGTCGAAAGCCGGCTGAAAAGATAAGCTGTCGCTGTCTCGGATGTAGAGGAACGGTAAACGACTCACGCGGCATCGCCCAGGTCCCTCTCAGCAAGCCACTGAGCTGCCTCATGCCACGTTGACTCGTCCGCCAGCAGATCCCGGAGTTCAGGATCGATCGTTCCTGGAGTAGCGGATAAGCACCCTCCAAGACAATCTTGGACCGTCTCTGAACACGTACCGTATTTAGCAAGACACAGCACGAACTGCGCAAACGGGTTTCCAGGCTCGAGATTCAGCGCAGGCGGACTGGCTTCGAGCGTGGAGATGAGCGCAGAGAGAATGCCGATGGCAGTGTGCGCTGGCGGGATGCTCGAGTGGCCACCCGGAACATTGACGCTCAACTGCACGTTGGTGCTCCCTTTTTCACCCATAGCAGGTGTGATCCAGGTCTTTCCGTGATAGTCTTCCATGATACCGCCGCCCTCGTCGATCCTGGGCAGAATTATAGCAGAAGGGGTGTGGAGGAAGGTACAGAGCGCACAAGAGGAACACCTTGTCTTCTCCAGTTCCGTACAATCCTTCGAGATATGCAGCGATGGCTCGGGCTGAACGCTGCACATCGCTTGAGCAATGCACAGGAGCGGTCGATGAGCGATGCACTCACCACTTGTCCTCCCTCCTCGTCGAATCCAAATGCGACATGCACAGTTCGAGCAGGCTTAAAGTCGGCCTTCAGGAGCTCGGAGATGGCGGACAATTCGGCGATGCTGCGGTAAAGATCAAGACGCATTCTGTCTGCAAATCTCCCACGCACAGCAGATTCTTACAGTCACCCGCACCACGGCCCCAGATCCACCCGTCCCTGTCCAGAACAGCGTCGAAAGGCGGATGGGTCCAACGGTCAACGGTGTCGGCGGGTACTGGAACCGTATCTTGGTGTGCCATAAGGACTGCATGGATGGCATGTCAAAGTGAGCGAAGGAGACAGAAACAAAGGAAGCACACACCGATCGGGGCCAGACCAGCATCGCTCCCCTTCCAGGTGAAGAGCAACCCATGGGTTGCAAAGTTCTCCAGCTTCAGCGCTGCAAATCTCCACGCCGACGATAAGCCCTTCCACTCGACTAAAGCATCACACGACTCACACATCGGGGAACGTCGCGCGCAAGTACGCCTCGAACTTGAAGAACTTGTCGAACCACGGATCCGAGCCCACGGTCGGTGCGCCATCGAACGTCTCCGTCTTGACGCGCACGGCGCCCCGCAGGCGCTCGGTGTACACGGCAGTGTCGTGGGGGTCGAACGCGAGCGCGGGGATCAGTGCGGAGGGCTGCACCGGGCACGTCACGCTCGGGGCGTGTGCGGCGTAGTGGGTCGGGCCCGGATGGAGGAGGGGTCCGGGGCGCGGTGCGATAAGGAGGACGAGGGATAAGACGCCCGCGGCGAGCGGTAAAAGTAGGATGCGCCGCAGCCAGCTTCGTCTCTCACTGGGCTTGTACTGCCCCCACTCGTCGGCCGGAGAGTGGCAGGCTAATCATTTCTTTGGTGTCTGGTTTCGCGGCTCCGGCCACAGTCGAGGCAGCGGCAGAGGGTGGAGGCGAAGCTTTTTGTACCCGCTTCGTGATTGCGATCCAATAATGCGTCATCTGATGTGCTGATGTGACGTGCCGAAGGTGAGGGTCAAACCACGAGATGGGGGCTTTGTCGAATTCGATCGATCCGCTCAAACGTACAAGGGACGTACTGAGAGTCAAGTGCACGGTACTGAACCAAGCGGACAGACATTTCGGACTTGCGATTGATCATTCAAAACCTGCGTCGGTCCCACTCGAATATGTTTTGGATTGTGTCTCATTCGCCGTCCAGATCTCTGCTCTGTCCGATTCGAAAGAATCGTGAGGCGGAACTATAAGCACTCACTGGCTACCCTGATAATCGATTCCTCGAAGATATTTTTGGGCAGACTCTTGTAGTCTGATGTCACGTGCTCGTGGTATCGCACAAGATCTCACTGCATTCCCAGGGTAGGTAGTCTCAGATCATGGACTACCAACTTCGGCTATTCTCGGCAGATGTCGTCCTATGTCGTCCCACTTTCCTGGGTAGTCCCTTATGTAACGCCGGATGACTACTGTGGACTCCCACGTCTGAGGTTATTCTTGACATTCTAGCCTGGTCTAGCCCAGTTCGCGCCCACGGTAGTCCAATCCACTCTAGGCAGACTGGTATGAGACCCTAACAGGGTGGTCAACTGGGTCATTTTTGGTACCCGAGTAGGGTCAAATACCACATGCTTTGGCAGCAACCACCCTCAATTTGTGAGGATTGAAACTGGGCCCCAATGATCAGTACTGCCTAGTAGAGGGCCTGCTGGGCTTGGATATTTATGTAGGCATAGCTAGCATCAAGGTGCTGGCCCCCTAGGGGCTCATGGCACACCCTGGGCCTACTGTTGCCCAGATATGGAAAATGGCCCAATCAGGCCAGTATTGTCCTGACGCTGGATACAGCAGCTTGGTACTGAACAGAGGAGCATTTTGAATATGCATGCATACTGAGAACATGCTCTTGTACTGATTGGCTTAGCTAGGGCCTGCTGCAGGTCAAATGCCCAAATTCCCGGGATCATGCCAGTAGGGCCTGTGAGCAATCTATGGTAGCTGTGAATGGGTCAGAGAAGCACTGAACATTGATATACACTCCTCTCACCTGTGTTCTGAGTTATTGGTGCGTGCTGCGCCTGCTGCAGGTCAAATATGGGCATTTGCCTAATTGGGCCGATATACCCCAGGGGATGGATGTTAAAGCATTAGATCAGTTGTAGGTAAATCCTATAGTATTAGAAACTCTGTGGAACACTGGACTGGGTCATCAGTGCTCTCAGTGCCTTCCGCAGGCCTGATATTAAAATTGGCCTGATCAGGGTATCATGGCCCATATAATGGATATTAGGGCATAAAATCAGTTGGGGATACATCCTATGGTACCAGGAACTGCCCGGAGTCCTGTTCAAGGTCATTGATGCATGCTGCACCTCCTGCAGGTCAAATATGGAAATTTGCCTGATAGGGTCGGTATAGCCCATGGGATGTGTCTTGGAGTGAGAAATGACATGGAAGGCCTCTAAGAATATTCTAAAACTCCCTGGAAGACTTCTCCAGTCATCAGTGCACCCAGTACCTTCTGCAGACCAAATGTAGAAATTTGCCCAATTAGGGTCGTATAGCCAGTATGATAGGTATTAAAGCATTACATGAGTTGGAGATACATCATATAGTATGAAAAGCTCTGTAGAATTGTGGAATGGGGTATCAGTTCTTCTAGTGCCTGCCACAAGTCAAATATGACAATTTCAGGGGAAGAAACTCAGTAATGGGTGGAACTGAAAGTCACTCTTGTAATGCAGATATTCTTGCTTCAGGAACCCAAAGCAATATGCTATTCCATTACATTGAGCCATTAAGAGATTTTCCGAACCCCAATAATGTGAAGATCCCACTCTATCTATTTTATTCAGGTGCAGTGGATTTTATATTAGTAGTGTGATAGAAACTCTCAAGGTGAATTCCACCCTCTCTTCAACATTGAAATGAACTTCTACAGTGATTTACACTCAAATTATAGAATCTAAGGGAAGTGAAGATAAAAAGCCCACCTCATTTTTGAGTGGTATGCCTCAACAAGATTGAGATGTACCACTAATGCAAGTTCACAAGAATGGTGACTTTGGGGTCTTCTTATGATATAGATTCTATAATCTGATTGTAAATCACTGTAGAAGTTCATTTCAATGTTGAAGAGAGGGTGGAATTCACCTTGAGAGTTTCTATCACACTACTAATATAAAATCCACTGCACCTGAATAAAATAGATAGAGTGGGATCTTCACATTATTG